ATGACTAAATTACTAAAAATAAATATGATTAGTAAACTGATGTGTCTTCCTTTTATAATATTCTGGCCTTTCTTAAAATCGTGAATTATAGCTTACTTAAATTAACCATTAATTATCTGTATACTTATCTCTTTCTACTGCCATTGAGTGAGTAAAGAGAATGCAACTTTAAGCACTTCTTAAATAGACATCAAGGTTATGAGTAAGGCCTTAAATTATCTAATTCAAATGGTATACAACTCAGATTTCTTCCAATTGGTGGAAATAAAATTTTCAATTGATATAATGTTGTTATCACCTATAAAACACATAACTTTTTTGCGCTATTTTCGCCTTGGGTACCGTATATGCTGACAGTACAGGCTCGTTGAGCCACTATAATCCTATTCCTGATCCACACGGATAGTACCTGCTAAATTTTCTTCTAATGTAAATAGTCTAATGGTACCATAACTTTCTAATAATAATTCTAAGATATCTAAAGACGGCCAGTTTTAATCATTGACACATTTTACTTCCAATCACATCAAACTTATGTTTACGTACTAAACCAGCTTAACTATACAAAATAGACAAATATAACGATCGCTTTAAACAGTTTAATATAAAATGTATTGCTTGTAAATACTACAGTGTAAAAAGATCAATGCATCGCATAATATATGCTACTCTAGTTTATTTACAATTAGAACATGCCACGGCTTACTATCATGATGAGAGAGGAAGATTTAAGTCACATTTATTACTGATCAATGAAGAAATGCAATGCAAAATATATTTAAAAAAATATTATCAAACGCAAATTTGCAAAACAAAATCAAATAAATGTTAAAAATATTAAAAATATATAAATAAGATTTTAAAGAAAAATGAAAAACAAAAAATGGTTTAATAATAATTGTAATATCATTCCTACACATAAATAAAATAACATTAGTCTTTTTTGTAAATGGCAATACAATTTTGAACATTAAAAAATAATAAAAAATATCTACAGTGAACAGGTCATAGACCTTCCAAATAATTCAATACAATAGTTTTTGCGCATTTAGAAGTTGTCAAAAACTACAATAGTCCATTCAAAGATTGAATTACTAAAATATATAATATTTTTTAAGAAAATGCCCACTCTTTATTCTTAATGTGGATAATTTAAAAGTAATTACTATATTTTACATATTTTAATATTACTCTTATTAAGCTATCATTACGAACGAAAAAAGAACAACTATTTTATCCAAAGACTACAATCTGTTTGAATCACAAACGAAATTATAATTATAGTATAATAAAAAATTAAAAGTTTGCTATGTACTTATTTTCACACTAATAAGCTCTTTAGTAACAAATAACAATATTTTAAGTTTAGTAATCGTTTTCGATGATATTATAAATGTTTGCAGACCTAAGGCAGGGTGAAAACGAGAGTGCGGAAACAGTGGCATGACATTTTATCTGCATACTTAGTGGCCAGGTCTGCTTAGGGTTGAGTCATAATAAGTTGGTACCATTATTATACATTGAATATCCGCACAATTACTAAAGCCTTATTATTATATCACGGATTAAGCAAAAACTGTCGCCAAAATTACTTTGATTTGGTTTTTAAGATTTGAAAGGCCTTAGTCTAAATTAAAATCTGCAATCAACATCATTCCGTAATATGAGAAAATCCATGTGATAACTCGAATTCTCCGTACTATGGCGGTATCATAATAAGCGGGGTTCATGATGATCGTATGAAGTTTCGTACTCTCGTTTAATCTGCCTAAGTCGCGACATTATCATTGACACTCGTCATTAATTAGCTGTTAAAATGTATATACAGGAAAAAATTGTGACTTCCATTCTGCAACTATTCGTAAACGTAAAGTAGTACAAATTTACAAATAACCATTCAGCTGAAACATTTGCTGATATGTCAATTATTAGCTACATAAATTCCATTTGACATGTTTGTAGCAAAACATAAATTTATAAACATTCTGCTGCAAATTGGAAACTTTTTTCATCAAACTAACTGCATTACAACAACTGCTTTTAGTCATATTATTTTTATAGTAAGTGGAACACATGTACTTCCAGCCTAAAGCTAACACAATTAATACAGATACACTAAGTAGACTGTGGTATAAAAATACAAATAATCATACCACGGGTGTAATTAGGTCATAATATTTAATTTTTTAATAAACGGTATAGTTTTTGCAGTTCACGAGGGCGCTTGAATTACACTTGTGGTAAGACATATACGTGCACGTTGTGTGCGTATTGATGGAGCGGTCGGTTGCGTGCGGGCGTCCACTCAAATACTATTAACTAAATTTCAATTTGTTTCCCCAAACATTAGATTTTATGTATTAACAATATACTCTATGTTTTATGTCAACCGTACGCACTACTATACGCACACACACATTGACGCGTATACAAGTGCTTTTTACTATACGTAAACCTCACTCGTGAATGGCAAGAACTATAATATAATTACTTTAAAATAAACAAACAGTGACATTTTATAGGCATTATATTGGGTGATGTACAATTTTATTAGTAACTTTAAATCTGACACATGGAAAAATAATATCGTATCACTTTAATCACTTTAGAAGACTGTTTTTAAGTAAATGCAATTCCGTGTGCTTTTAAATCTCCAACAATGGGGAATGCAAATAAAGGTTAAGCAGAGAACGCATATGTTAGCTTATTTTCATTGACCGTTTAGCGAATTAAAATCTGACAAATGTTTCCCAGAAATGTTATATTTTATTTAACGTTTATTTTCTTGTAGTTTTATAAGTAATAGGCAATAAAAGCATAATATGAAAGTATTCACTTGAACTAAGCCCGAAGAATATTTAATTTATTTAAGAATTAAAAATCATCAAGATATAGTTAGAAACAATTGTTTTCCAAAGACCACAAATTACATAGTCTTAACATCAAAGAAAACGTGGATGAGTGAAATCTATAATAACACTAAACAGTAGTCTTTTACTATACTTTCTTTATTTATAGGTGTTATGGTGTACAAGCAAAATTATCATTCTTAGCACCTCAGTACTCTCAAGGTAAAAATGTATCTATTAAAAATCACGAAATAAATATTTCTTCGTTGCTATTTATTTAAAGTTTTATAAATAATCCCTACATATTGCCGTTTGTTTGTTTGTTACACAATATCTTCCAGTTAATACTCGAAAATTGCATTCCCCATTGATGTATCGCCTCTGTAATTTACATACACAGAATGAAGGCATCCCATATTTTTAACGTTTGATTATCTTCATTTAATAAATTAAACAAGAGCGCCATTATTTTTTTGAATTATAAGATTTGAGTTTATAATCCCCTTTTATGTACATGTTACAACATTTCACTCTTGCATACACGTTGATTGAGGTGTCATCAAATAAATTGAAACTTTAATGAAATTAATAAAAACCATTCTTGATTTAATATTTTTCTAAATAACATTCATATTCTTCAGCGATGATATATGACGAATTTTAATCAATTCCTTAATTACAATCTCTTTGTTTCACAGGACGTTTTAGATTTTCTTACTAAGTTGAAATATCAATACCAGATTGAGGTTCTCATTTTATTTGCCAATTAAAATTAATTTAATTGATTTATTAATTTAAATTACTGCATAAGAGATCCCAAGATCCCAAGATTTTTAGTATCATATGTTTTTTTTTTAATATTACTTAAACTAATACTAATGACGCCAAATAAAGTGCTGACCAAGTTTTACTAAAAGTAGAGTTTTTTAGTAAAGTAAAATCTGTTCTAAGAGAACAGATTTTACTTTCGTTCTTACTGTGTTTGCATTGAAGCTTTATACATAATCATATTGACATGAATAATATTTCAGAGTAATTGAAGAGGCGTAAGAAAAAAGGTATTAACATGTCAACAAAGCAATTTAACATTTTCCAATAATAAATGTTCACAATACATAACAATTCACACAATAACGATAATGAAATGCATTTTTTTATATAAAAATACTATATAAAGAAACAATATTAATAATTACTATTCAATACAATAAAATTTGAAATAAAATTCTAAGGACACCTCTGTAGTAAACAAACACCAAAAATATCGTAAAATAATAGCGTTAGAAAATTAAGTAAGTAATGAAAAAATTTAAAACTACACAAACTGGAAAAATAGGTCAAATTGTTATTTATATTATGAAGGTTAAAAGAAAATAACGACTAATATTATATTTTAATTTCCACTCCCATAATAATATTGTTTCTTTATACATGAAAATGGAATGATATTCGTATATAAATGCTAATTAAGAACTACTGAATACTTCCAAGACCGCAGTTGAAAATCACGTTAGGGAATAATTTTCCTAGCGCTTTAAAAGTTTTAAAATTCTGGCTTCATATTTTTTAATACTCACGTTTATTCACAAATGTATAACACCATAGAAATTGTCTCGTAACTTTTATCAGAAATTGTTAAAGAGAGAAAAACGCTAAACGCTACAAAGCAGTTTTAATTTATATTTCTCAAGGTCTTAAAACTGATTGTGAAACATGATAAATAACAAATAACAGCATGGTTAAACTTGCCTTTAATATGGGATTCATACACTGAAAGTTATTATTTTCGCGATCATTCTATAAAACATCATCGTTTTATTTTATTATTTCTTTATCATTAACTTTCAAATTGCATTTAAAATTCAAAGTACATACACTTCTAAAACTTGGTTATCGTTTCTTAACCACTAAATGTGAGAGTGTCCCATCGGTAGGATGACTTAATTCTATGATTTTTTTTTACATACACAATAATATTCAATCTCACCGCTAAATGAACTAACTGTAACTCTACATTCAATTACTTTCGGTAACTCGTGGCGAAATAACAAATTTCGGTAGTTGTTATATTCGTGTTTTTTTATCAACATAGAAGTTGTTCAGTCCTTTAACTTGTCACTAAAATGTCTATCACATATCGAATGACGTGTACTAGCTCTCCGCGCCGGGTTCCCTCGTGTTCGGCGGTAGACTTTGCGGACTCTGCGAGAATTGATTGACCATTTTGTTCTGCATCATGTTAAGCAGGATATCGGAGTACTGCTCGATGAGAGACATCGCTGGGTTGCCAGCTGCGGTCGCTTCTGTATTAAATAAAATTACGAATTTTAATTTCGTTTTATTCGCCCGTGTGGCGGCGGCGATAAGGCATCCATCACACTGTTTTGTTTTGTAAGAGTCAATGACGGGAAACGTCATAAAGATGCCATGGCATCCGATAGCTAACGCGGTATAACTGTTTCTTATATGCCAGATTTGAATGTCTATACCGGCAAAAGGGCGAGCGGCATAAATGCCGTAACACGTCTGGTATTGTGCGCGCCAATCCACCTGCCAAGCGTGCTGATTACGATGAGCACTCAGCCAACAAATATAGACGGAGCGCTGCATTCGTTTCAAGTGACGACGAAACCATGCTCAATTTCTTGACACGCGCACACTTATACATCTTTCTTCCTTCTTTCGTTAAAATCCCGTTAAAGTTTATAGCTGGACGCACATATATGTACCTAAAACCATGTTATAAGTTGCAAATAATTTTAGATGCATTGAATGCGGATTCTTACAATAAGTTGAGCACGCAGCTTGAGTACGCAGCGCTCCATCTATCTATCTTTCGTGGTCTGTGAGCGAATCCATATCAAACAGTGAACTGTTATGGAAAACACTTTCATAACATAAAAATAATGAAACCTATAATATTATCAAAAATACATGATTAGTAAGTATAGTGGAATATGCACCTCTTTCTCCTAATATCAACCGTAGGGTTGATTTTATAAATACCACTGTTTGATGATCGAGACTTAAAAACCCACCCAAAATGCCTAACCGAAATCCCACAGACTATGGTGGGGCGGTATTACGACGAGTGAAAGTGCTCGGCTTTACGTTCACCCAGCGTGGTGAGTATGCGCATCACATTCGAGAAATATACGCAGATGGCATTTACATTATATTATATATCAAGAAATGCATGATGATGTCTCAGCAGTGAAATTGTTAAACCCTTGGTTATGGTGCACGGTATGAGTATTTAGGCCTAGAAATAATTGGTCCAGCTGTTAGTCCTCTTGCATTTTACGTGTGCACAATCCTCATACAAAATTCTCAAAAATTTTAATTTTCCTAAAATAATAGGTTTTTCAACAAGAACTTTGTTTTCTAAAACAAAATAAAACAAAGAGTTTAGATGAACATGATTCAAATTTTTATTGTATTACGAAGAGAAAAGTTTGGCAATTATGAATGAAAAATGATATCTGGCAAATGTCCACCACGACCACGCTGACAGATGTCGATTCTTTCATCAAAGTTTTTAATCACTTTTTGGCAAAATGGCGGGTCTATTTCGTTAATCACGTCACGGATTTTGAGTTTTAAGGCCGCGATCGATTCGATTGGCTCCGTATAGACTCTGTCCTTAACATAGCCCCACAAAAAATAATCCAGCTGAATTTCGTGAAATTGTGCGATCGGGAAATTTGGTTTGTAATAAATTGATCGTTTCATTGGCTGTACGACATGTGGCACCGTCATGTTGAGACCACATGTTTGTGATATCGATGTCATCAATAATAGGCCAAAATTGAGATGTTAACATCTCGCGGTAGCGTGATCCATTGACCGTTATTACCGCATTTCCAGCCTCATCTTCGAAAAAAACGGCCCAATCACGCCTCCAGACCACATAGCGCACCATACAGTGACACGTTGAGCATGCAAAGGCTTTTCAATAATCGCTTTAGGATTTTCAGAAGCCCAAATGCGGCAACTTTGCTTGTTGACGTACCCTGACAAGTGAAAATGGGCTTCGTCTGAAAAAATGATTTTTTCAGAAAAACCAGCGGGCTGTTCCTGAATGAATTGAGCGAATCTACGGCGATGTGAATGGTCGGTCAGCTTCAATTCCTGCACCAGTTGAACCTTGTAAGGCTTCAAAGCCAAATCCTTACGCAAAATTCGCTATGTGGTGGTTTTGGATAACCCCAATTGTTGAGAACGTCGAGGAATTGACAAATTTGGATCTTCTTCAACACTGTGGCTCACGGCTGCGATGTTTTCGGTTGAACGACCCGGTCGAACACGCGTTGGTGTTGGCGCATTTTGTACCGAGCCTGTCGATTCAAATTTAGCGACCAAATTCTTAATAGCGGTCTCAGAAGGACGATTATGTTGTCCGAAAATATCACGAATTTTACGAAACGTAACTTTAACAGAACCACCATTTTCATAGTGGATTTTAATTATTTTAATGCGATTTTCGAGCGAAATTGAATTCATTGTAGCAATTGCCAAAACATCTACTACGAATAGGTCAAAAAACTAAATGTCAAAACTGTCATGTTTTTGGTGTTGCCCCAATTGAAAAACAAAGTTCTTGTTGAAAAACCCGTTACAATTTCAAACGAAACAATTAAGAACATATAGGTACTTTTGTTACCCCATATCATCCCGTGGGTGTTGTAAGACACGACAGAGGGAGACAAAACAAGGAGACGGGCAGCAGCGTCTTCCTAATAACGACTAAATATAAGAAAGGGCGGCTGCAAATCCGCTTGCCCAGCTTGGCAACTATGGCAAGTATCCCTCCTATAAGGCAATGTTCAGCAGTGGACTTTAATAGGCTGTAATGTCAAAGGGTACTATATGAAAATATAGTACCCTTTAGGGTGGTATTTGAAAATCTCTCACATAAACTCGGTCTGTTGACATCATGAAAATCAACAAATAAAATTCCTTCTCAAATTGTTATTAGACTTAAAACATAATATTTAATTAATATCAGTGATATGGAGCATTACGGTGTAAAGTCGTATCGCCATAATATATTGTTATTTATGTATAATATGTAACGCCTACAATATTAGGCATTTTTTTCAAATTATCAGAAACAAACCTTTGGAAACAAGGTTCTCTAACTTTTGCCTAGTGGAGTCCACGTTGAGGCCTCTGTAATCGCCCTCCGTCGACGAGAGACTACTCAGGGCTTCGCCCCCATTTTGTGAACGCATCACAGCGCTGCGGAGCACTTTCTGCGTCTCCAGTATGGCTGTTTCTAGACCTGTTGGAAAAGTCATTTTGAGTAAGAAAAATCTGAGATAAAACAATAAAACAATGTACAATGTCTTTATTCTTCAAAAAAATATAAAAGAAAATGTCCAGCTCGCTGCCTCGGGATGGCTAATATAGTTGTTGTACTCGATTTTCAACTAAGAGTTTCGCATATGATGATGATGATGATACACCCCTTCCATTATCGAGCACAGCGACAACTTCCGAAAGCTTTCTGAAAGGTCTCACTATACTACCACAGGTAATGTTACAGTACCAATGTAAACATACCTGCTCACTCATAGGACACACGTACTCGTCACCGTTAATGCCTATTCTATAAAATCAAAGGTACAGGGACATTCACAACACAACCAGACCCTGTAAATAATAATTTGTGTTTTGCACAAATGTTTACTTCGACTGGGATCTGTGATGTCACCTGGTGCTCTGGCAACCACTTGGATGTGGAGAGCCTTAAGAACTATAATATAATAATATAGTAAAGCAAGCCTATTAAGTTATTTTTTTCTAGAAGGGTTACAAACGATCTCACAGTCCACTTGATGGTAATGTGTTGTTTTGGCCCATAAACATCTACATTCTATCCTTTTTCTTTATAAAGAATAAAAAGGGACATTGTTACCCCTAAGGACTGAGGCTGTAACGACCGACCGTGACTAATGGCGGTACATTCATATAAAAATGCCAAGACCAATCTCACTAACTAATGATGGGCAGCATTACCTATGTCAGGGTACCAGCTAACTCACCAACAAGCTTGCCCAGCGTTGTCTTTATCTACAAATCTTTAAGGTTCTATGGTTTTAACAGCGGCTTGACAGGGCCTATTTTCAGCAGCAGCAGGTTATTTTGTAATATACGCCCTAATTTGCTGATAAGGTTCAGAATAAATAATATAGGCGAATGGTGAAGAAAAAAAAAATAAAAAAAATCTCAAACATTCTGTTCTTTTTATCTTTTAAATTCCGAATAATAGACGGTAATGCATTATTTTAAATTGTCTTTCATACATATCTAAAGCCTACTATTTTACTGCGCAAGCACACATTCATAAGGGTCGATCGGTCGACAAAAACGTTATGAATTGAATCGCACGCAGAGGAGCGCGTGTACGCGTAGTCGTTGCCTATAAATTACATTAAATTTGGGATAGTTTCAGAAATAATAGAAGCCTTATTTACTGCAATAACTGTATATAGTTATTTATGTATTTGTACTTAAATATAAAATTTGGATACTCTTTGCTAAATAACCCTGTTTAAACAAGGTTCGTTAACAAGAAGGAAGCAGAAAAGAGTCTGCGACACTTTCTCCTCCTGTAATTTTTGAAGAAGTTCCTGTTAATTAAATAGCCATTTCATTTCATGGATACCAGCCAAAATCACTTTTTTATTTTAAATAGCTTTATCACGAAAATAATGAGTGGATAATTTTCTTGTAAACAGTTATAGAGCAGTTAGTACATTAGGACTGCATACGCCCTCAAAATACACTAGACACTCGAAGAACTTGGTAAATCCACGCTTAAAATTGCAATTAGCCGGTTGCACCAAGCGGGGTTAGGTTGCTCACACACTATGGAATTAAAAGAGAGTGCAAATTATTCTTAATTTAAAAAACAAAAGTGAATAAGTATACTTACCACTTATATCGGCGGCAGCATTCGGTTCCCTCTGCAGTCTTCTGTACAAATGTACCACTTTGCCTGCCGTTTTGGTCAGTTGCTCAGTCAGCGCCAGACAGAGCTGAGATGGGGACACTGTAAAATAAATATTTAAATAAATAAATTACAATTTACAATTTAAGTGAAGAGATTTTAACTAAAACAGAAACAAATTGCGGTAAATACATAAACAAAATAATCAGAAAGAAAAGCTGATGAAGTTAAAATTTCTTGTACCTGTTATGTTAAGATAGTTATTTTGTTATTATGTTAAGAAGTTAAGATTTCTTGTATATTATGTTATAAGAACATTGACTTTAAGCCGATATATACACAAAGTTATTGGTCTTATGAGCCGGATATAATTACAAACCTATTGTAAGATACAAATTGAAAAATTTCTTACAATTCTGTTCGGCTGGTGGTGGCTCCTGTTTGCTTCTCTGTCTCGTATTGGTAGCCAGTCGAGCAGTCACTTCACGTGCTTTCGCCGATAGATCGCGCTCACTACCACTGCGACCTACTAAAGAAATTATTATATTTTTAAGATATGTCATGGTAAATATAAATTAGAAATATGAGTATCACTAAGAGGTAGGATCCTTTTCTGTCTCGAAGCTCATTTTATATATACCTCCCCTCTACCCTCCACCCTCTTATATATCTGCCGCGAAATAGCTGTGCTGCGTTCTGGTCTATATTGAGCTGTACAGAGAGCCAGTATAATTATAGGATGTGAAGCATTCCATTTAAGTCCTAAGAGATGACAACGCACCTTTAGATCTTCTTTGTTCGAAGTTGGCCGCAGGCGTCTGTAATGGACTGCAATAGCTTCTTACAACCAGGTGGCTGAAGTCCGTATGTCACTTCAGTTTTATAAAAAACAATGTGAGGAGATGTGAATCTAAGGATGCGTGAATATTTGAAAATAAATCTGAATCCAATTAATAATTATTCATGTTTCTGTCATAACAAAATTTATTTCCCTTTATAACTAAAATTGTCTTAACATTTGTAATTGTAACTGCTAAAGAAGAAATCGACAATATTCGATAAATTCAAACCTAATATATAAAGTGGAAGTGAAGAATCATCGGCACCACCTAGGAACATGACGTTTATGCATCTTTTGGCCACTACTCAATGAAAGACTATCTTTATCTGCTATTCTGACATTAATAAAATAATTACAACAATAATAGAATAATAATACTAAAAGTACATAACTATTTAGGTCATGCTACATGCTAAAAATAAAAAGAATATTGAAACAAATGTTGCATATATACATACTAACTTACTTATTCCCAATAAATGTCTTGATATACATACCAAGTCTCCTCTGCGCCCTATCGGCCGAAGCTGCTCTAGGGCGAGGAGCGGCGGTTGGCTGCTCGTTGCTCGCCCTGTCTTCAGCCTCCGAGCTGGACTCCTCGCGCGCCACTGTCGATACGCTCGCTGTGCCAATTTTAGTGTTACAACGTGCAAATTTGGATTCAATATGCTGTGACTATTAATATATTAATTAGGCCACTAACTTCGTAGTGATATATTATGGGATTTAAGAAAAATACTTTACTTTTTATTATGAACTTGAAAATATTTAATTTTATAATGTATGTGTGCATGATTGACATTTTACGATAGTTTTCAATCTTTAAACAATGTGTTTGTTAACGTTTGTGGAAATAGATTGCAGCAAACTTAATAATACAAGTTGTATTGTAAAGTCTGTTGTATTCTAAAGGTAGCTACAGTGCTTTTCGGAGATGTAACGAATACATTAAAGAAAATAGAACACAAATAACCTACAAAAGTTAAGTATAAAATAAATATCAAATAACACAACCACTTCTTATATGTGTACCATAATATAACATAACAATATGTCTAAAATGATCTAAATTTTTAGAGAACAAGAAAAGTTCTGAAATGTTCGTTACAACCCTAGGTCTAAACTACGTTGAGTTTTAAGTGATATACTAAATACAAGAAACGCTACGATTTAAAGCGCTGTAATGTTAGTTGTGTTTCAACTACTGAGAGTTTAAAGTTTAAAAAGTTATTACGAATTAATTTTTTTCTAAAACTTTCTAATACGTACCAGTGCTGTAAGAGTTGACGAGGCCACGTCTCCTAGCGGTGTTAGCAGCTGCTTTATTCATAGAACTGATTGTGGGACGCATTAGACCTTGATTACGCGTTGACTGCTGACGAGACGGTTGAGGGTCCGACTCAGAGTCACTCTGGTAAGAGAAGATATTGATGAAAACCCTGAGTCATATACATTAAAATTTTATAATATTTACAATCTAAGAGGTATTCAATCTAATTCTTCAGAGCTGATAACACACTTACGGCCTACTTTGTTTTTAAGTTGGCGCTCATGAGTTACAGTGGTGACTCACCATAAGGTTGATAAAAAATAAATAGTTATTCCGGTTTGCACAAAAATTACAAGTGCAGCTGAATAGCTTGAAATCTTGCTGTAAAAAAGCAATCCATTCTCTGTATGAATTGCCTGTATCATGATGTACAAAATTTGTATACCTGGTTTAGTACACCAACGCTGGAACTTCGGGTCATATTGGAGGATTTGTTAGCGTACCGCGGAGCTGGCCTTACGAATCCGCTCGGTGACTTGCTCGAGTTTGCACTCGCTGGGGGCGTAGCTTTTGCTGGAGCTATAAGAATTAAGAACCAAAATAGATTTTAACATAACGCGATAAGGTTTACATTTACTTCTAGTGTCACTATTAATAACACACTTTTATAATAATTATTGTAATATAAATAAAGTTAATTGAGTGTTAGAATAAGGAACGTCAATTCTGACCTATCTCAAAAAAAGCTTTTTTTATTATTTTTGACTTTTCAATAATTGTAATTCACAATGAAATATTTCTGAGACTTGATGGATTTATTTATACCCGTAATAGAAATGATATAATACTAAATAATTAAAAAACTATATCAAGGCATTTTTTTAACCTACAATGTTTAGAGAGTATGAAAAAATATACGGCCTTACCACAAAAAAAAACTTATGCATTTCAAGTAGTTACACGGTGTTTAAGCGATCCTTTCATTTTGTATACTACAAAACTAAGTTTTGGCGGTGCCTTATTAAACGTGATTTCGACATGTCACAAAGAACATAGGTCACGGCCCATACATGCTGTGACCTGGCTATAAAATATCGCGAACATGACTAGTGTATGGATAAATCCGTTTCCCCTGGGCACAATCTAAATCCTAAATTGAAAATATATTATATAAAAGCCGAGGATCATAGAACGTTACACTTATGTATTTCGTCATTTTTGAGGTTATGATGTAGCCATGACTACAACCTCAGCTAAAACAATTGATATGAAAACTATGCAGTAATATATACTTAACTAAATAAGTCATTGACTTGACTTATTTAGTTAGACCAAAACAACAAAAATGAATCAATAACCTTTCTAATCTTTTCACTGCTAAGTATCTAAGACACAGGTGCTTTGACTTTAGTTCACGCTTTGACAGTTCTGGTGTCATAATAATAATACAACAGGCTGCATAGAGACACTCATAAACTCATAATACATTCCGTTCTAAGTATTAGTGCAATTTATATTTATTGTCAACCTATTATTTGCAACTTATTTCGGAATACTTTCCATATCCCCATCTGAAAATGATATTATTGATAAAACACTACATAAATAAATAAAAAATCTACAATAATATCTAGTATTTAAAAAAAGTAAACGCATAATATTAGTGTTACTTTATTGTTATGATGAAACGTATACCACAGATAAAAAAGGGACGGGTTTAGATGCGTTCAGAACCTATAAAAATTAGTAAGGAAATGCGGTTTTTCATTACAAAGCTAAATTATTTTACCGGCTCTAATAAAATAATTTGGACTCCGTAATTTAATATACACCTAAGTCACTATTTTTTGACGTATCAATCATTGGTGGTCGTTTCATATTTTGGTCAGGTCATATTTGACCGTTGTTCTTTATGCTGCATAGTTATCGAATTCAAGTTAACAATTTTTATTTCATCTATCTATAAGTTTTACTAATCTATAAATAAATTGTCATCGTTATCATCGTCAACACAGCCAATCACAAGTTCAAAGCAGTAGATAAAGGCTTTCCACGTAGATTGCCACAAAGCAGAGCCTGAGCCACCTACATCCATCAACTCTCCAAAAATATAATTAGTAAAGTAATATTTTTGAAATAAGTAAAAGTATGAATTTAAAACGTCGGTCCACTGCTGAACTAAGGCCTCCCCCATATATAACCTAAAGGAGGGGGGATATTTGATATAGTTGCCACGCTTGGCAAGCGGCTAGTCGACTGCAGTTTTTATTTATTTTTAGCTCTTATTAGGAAGACGGTTTTATTTTTTATTTTTATTCTTTCTTATGTCTCTTACGACACTCGCGGGATGACATGGGGTAATGGATATTCTTACACCGCCACTACACGGAATTTAAAACGTTACAAACTAATTATTAAAATTATATTCAAAACTTTAAAATTTATCTCATAGCATTTTAAAAAAAACTATTCTAAACAATACATATCGATGAACACTGTTTTGGTTATTTTTTGTGGTAAGAATGTTAACGATCACTAATATTAAATAATGTCAAGCATATTCTGCAACAAGAAAAAAAACAAGCAGTCACCAAACATTCAAACATGCTAAAATAGAATGGATTATTAATAGTGCCCGAAAAATAAATTGTTAAGCGATTTCTTTGAGAGTTGCATTGGGAGAATACCACGTTAACTTATAGTTATAGTCTTAAGTTTGAACTGGAAAATTAGATTAAAGTTCTAAGAAATTACAAAAATAGTAAAATAGCTGATAAAATGACAAGAAAAAAGGTCTTAAGATACTGTTGTTTTTTTTTAAGTTAGATAAGGTACTAAATATTTAATTAACCGATTATTTGAAATAATTAAACTGAAACAAAAATAATGCTGTAAGACTCGTAGTGGAATGTCAAGCATACGGAAAGTGGTAGGTATAAACTTCTATACAAAGGTAGCGTGGAAGAAAGTAGACACGAAATATTTATTGTGCTAGTACTACTTAATTCATTAGTTTGTATGTTTTTAGTTAGCATTTTAAAACTATTTTTGCTTTTTAGCTAAGTACCATTAAAATCACACTGTGAAACACTAACAGAACCCCCACCGTTTCACCTGAGCCATCTAAACCCACCTTGCGGCGTCCTAGGCGCCGGTACGGGCTTGGCGAGGTCGGAGAGGGAAATCGCTCTCCTCATACCCGGCGTTTCCTCCTCGTAGTCGGACGGGGAGAGATGCGTGCGATTTGCTGAGTCACACGGATAATTTGTAAATCACATGCGGGTAAGCGACAACAATCTGAACTTAGTAAATAGACAAATCTTAGAAATAATGTATTTGGACAAGTACAACCTAGGTCCAATTTCAATTGAATTATATTGTTCTGTCAAAAATGTACCAGGATTTATAAATATATATAGAATGTTCGTAAATTCAGTTTTGATTGCTGCGCGCTGCGGGTTTTTCTCCGCACACAACAGGTATGGCCTAAAAATTAACAACGGTTCTGCTCTGGTTCTAGGACTAGGTGTTAGACCATGTGCAATGTGTATATATATATATATATTTCATTCATTAAAATTCAACGCAACAAATACACCAACGTTTTTTCCAGTCTTAGAAATACAAATTTTATAGTTTAATTTTTTAAGGCTTTAATATGGCCAGATAATATTTTTTGATTATCCGTCTGCGGATGCAGAATGAATTTACGATTACTCAACAAAAAATGAAAATAGATAAGCATCTCATTAAATTTTAGCGCCTTTGATATGGCTTTTTCAGGCTATGGCTTAACACTGTCTTTAACAATTTACAGTTAAAAATAGTGATGCTCTACTGATGTTAACTGATTGAACGTTAGAATTATCAACTTCAGATTTTACCGCGAATTTGGAAAATTATAAAACTCGATACTTTTTGACAGGGCGAATTAAATAATATATATTTGTGAGGTATCTCCTATGAGTTTAAAGGAGCTAAAAATAAAGCAACGATTTCAGATTATTGTGCATTAAAGCAAACACACTACAAAACTTAAATTTACGAATACCGCTTCATCGTGCATTGACAGCGGGCATACTGATATGCTTTTAATAATCGAAACATGCTGAAAAAATACACAACAAAAAAAGCTACTTGTGATGATTTGTGAAGATAACTTGTGCCAAAACTAAATTAATAAACAAAAAATATACATCAAATACAACGATTTAACAACAGATTCCTCACAAATTATCACAAATTTAGAGTCACATAATTTTAAAAATATCGGCGTCAATATAAGTATTGAATCAATAGTTATTGAACGAAAAGTAACACGTATTTGTAAAAAAAAAGCGCGAAATCAAAATTGGAACCGTTACAACATCTAATAGAATTCGTTCAAACATGCGAGTCCAACCTTGCACTGGTGAAAATTTCGACGGCAGGACTTGAGTTTGGAATGGCATTTTTCTAGACAAACAAGAATTCCTTACAGCACCCCCGGTACCTAATACTGGCCTTATTTTACACTGTGATTGGTATATCTGATTCTCCAAACAGAGCCTTGGTCCAGGCAAACGAATAGTTTTCCTCAACGGAACTTTAGGCCGGTGAAATCCATAAATTGATAGTCTTTTTGGCGAATTTGTGCAACTTGAGCTTGTTGTCGACGATTCGTAATTTTCACTGTCTAAATGTACATCCGTTTTTGGTATCACCATTTCATTATACACTCTATGGGACAAAGTTTTTGGAGCAGTTTTTAATTCACTACGTACTGTATTATTTAATTGAGTTTCAGGATGATCTAATTCAATAGCTTCGTTACCAGCATCATTGCTGACTTCAATATCCACTGTAACTAGACCCCCAATCTGATCTGAATCAAGTATATCAGGGAGGCTAAGATTACGTTTGATTTCTTTATTTTCAGAATTAGTGTCAGTATCCGTATCCACCTCTTCCAATGTAAGCGAAGTAAAGTTCGACGTAGTATTTTGCTTTGTTGCTAACTTTTCAAATTTCCTTGACAAAACTTTTACTACACCTTTGCCGTCATTAATGTTAGCTTTTAAAGGTCTCATTCTCCATTCTTTCAATATTTTCTCCTGTAATATCTTTCTTTCCTCCATTTCAACTAATTTGTTAATAATTTCAAGTTTACGTTCTATATATTTATATTTTTTTATCTCATCGCTTATTTCTGCTGGTGCTATGTTTTCTTTGGCTTCAATGTTTTGTCTACTATGACATGGAGCCTCAATATCAACTTTAATAATTCTACGATTCATCTGATTCTTTGTGGATTTGACCGAAATCTTATTTTTATCTACTTCAGAGAAATAATCTAATGAATCTTTTGAAAATTCATTTTGACTGTCATCAATGACGTCTAGGGAATCCATACTAACATGGTCCATTCGTTCCATTCTCTGCATTGCATACACCTCTAAACTGTCCATTTGAATTTCTGATTTATTTTCATTTATATCTTTTTCCTTGACAAATACATCAAACGACTTTTCCGCATTATCTGTCGCATCAAGTTTGTTTGAATTTGTGTCCTCTTGATTTTTACTTGTACTATAATTTTTATTCTGAAGACCATCTAATTTTGCTTTATATTGTGATGATATAGATGAGCTTAGAGTACCTTTATCCAACCCTGCTTTTAGTCTATTATTCATCTTTATTGATGATGTCCGCTTCATGGGCTTTGGTGGTTTGTGTGGAACAAATTCCATCGTAACATTATTGTTCTTCGAACCTGATCCTCTTTCTAAACTCTTTGTAGTATTATTATTTTTAGCAGCATTTGCTTTCTCCTTGTTTAATTGGTTCTTGTTTACTTTTGTCTGAATATTCTTCCGTATTTGCTCCTCAAACTTCTCAAGATTTTTCTGTACGTGAGAGTTACGTTTTTCCATTAGATTTTTCAAAGGATTGGGTTTTGAAGCTGGTTCTAATACCACCTCAAAACTGCAACTTTTTGACTTAACCATAGTATTCTGCTCGCACCCCTCCATTTCACTTTTATATTTATGTTTCTCTGCAAACTTTGGCTGTAATGACTTACTCGTGTTAGCCATGTAACCACCGGTATTAAGTCGTGGTATTTCGTCAGCTCCTTTTTTCTCTTTCGCATACTGCTGTATATTATTCCCATCAAAATAATATGCAATACTTTTAGCAGGTGGAGGTGGAGCTTGTTTTGAAGCAGAATCGTATAAACTTTTAGACCTTGTGACAGTTTTATGTCCTGAAAATTCTCCAGCTGGTACATCAAATCCATATACTTTATGAATCGGTGGTTTTGGATTAATTATAGTTTCTCTATAATTAGAACTACTTTCGCCTAAATAATTATTATACATGTAACCTCCCATGTACGATACATTGTTAGGACTTGATCCGTAACTTTTGGAACTGTTGTCGAATTCATAGCAGCTTTTACTATTCCTTGGTACTCCAATAGATTGGTTACGTGACTGGCTGGATGTTCGAGCCCCTTCAAAGAGCATTTCTAAAGGTGCACTTTTGGTGCATTCGGAGTCATCAGAAAGAACGCTTTCCAGCGAGTTGCAATTAGTTCTTGAAAGCTGCATATCATTATCTAAGTACATTTCATCTGATAACATTGACTCTTGGCTGCAACTCGATTTCATATACTTCTTCTGATTCAAAAAGAAACTTGCACTACTGTGTCTATGATTTTCTAGATATTGTTCATCAGTTTCGTTTAAGTTCTCGAATGAACAGTTTTGTGAATCATTTAAATTATATCGGCTATCATACTTTGCTTGCTGGAAGGCGACTTCATTACCATATTTTAAGAATATTTCGTTTGACACGCTGGAACAATTTGAATTATCGCTCAGAACCGATTCGTTAGAGCGCGTGATGCACCTCTTCGTCAGAACACTTTGGCATCTATACATATTATTTTTGGAACTTGCAGTGTAATTTTCATCCATAACATCATCGATATTCGAAGGCATATTTCTGGGTAGAGTCGAACTTTTCTGACTTATACAAGGCGGCTTAAACGGTACAGTTGGCTTGTCCGTTGTTCCGCCGTATATTTCGTAGTTCGATATAGCGCGGCGCGGCATGATTGCGGTTTTTGTATGTTTCTTACATATCTTCTTTGAATATAATTTATTCTTACAACTTACATCTTGACTCAGACTGCAATCTTCTAGTGAATCTGAAGAGAAGTTACCATCATCTTTTTCTTCGCCTTCCTTTGTGGGTTGCAGGTCTAAATCTCCCTGATTATTGGGGTCATACTCATCTAAGTCACCGTACTTTTTTGTTATTTCTGCTATCATTTTTTCAGTATCACTCTTTATAGTGTCTACTATACTTTTACCACTTTCTTTAACTCTGTTATCGAATCCAACAAAAAAACTTAGAGAATTACGTTTTTTCGGATCTGGAGGGGGAACTTGAGGTTTAGTATTACCTTGATTTTGATTATTTTGAACAACTTTATCCGCCCATTTACATTCTTCGGATACAGGTGATACAGGGCAAGATTTGTAATTCTTAAATATACTTCGAGAATTAGGCTTGGGTAGTTTTGGTTGAGGTTTTTCGGACAAATTTAAATGGAAACTACGCGGTGGAATTTTAGGCGGTGGTTCTTTTTCCTCATTAGGATTGACAGGAAATAATCTACTGAAGACCTTAGATTGTACTGGTTTCTTGCCCATATCTATCGTAAAAGCCTGAGGTTGTTGTTTCTGAGGCAATTGTTCTTTAAAAACCATCGGTTTCTTGTTATAAGGCATGTAGTTAGTGTTTCTCTTATCATTCTGATTTGGTACCATTCCAGCATGGGGCGGTATATACGGAGCTATATTTTCTAAATATTCCGGCATCATTTTGTGATTGAGGTTTGCAGGAATGGCGTAAGGGTTCTTGTTGCGATAGTCTAGGTTCATATTCTGATAGGGATTCAGACTATCAAAAAAGTTTAAACTATCTAAATTCTCCTCAGGGTGAAAGGGGAGATTAGGGACTCCTGGTCAGCATGGCGGGGAAAAATTTTATTCATTTTGTTAGTACAATAAATATAAAACAAATTTAAATAATGTTGCATAATGTTAGTGAAATCATACAGCAATCTATATGGTATATTGTCAATGACAATTAATACATAAATTCAAAGACATGTGAAATGTCTTGCATGTATTGTAATTGACTATGCTCTGCAATAATGAGTCACTGATCGGTCAAGAAAACACGATCGTATCCTACTAAACACATATTTGTGTAATAAATTAATATTTAAAAAAAACATTGCACTTAAATTATATTCAAATGTGCTGATCATTACTTTTATTAGGTCAATGCAGAGCAAAGATTAATCTATGCTCAATTCAAAAAAAGTTTAACTTTAATTAAAGTAAATAATAAATACACTCACCATACGGCCTAGAATTGCTCGGCACTGCCATCGAGACAGGCCTGTTCCGACGGGAATTGTCCTTTTCTGGTATATAGGACAAGTCCGTAGTGGACTGGCTCGATTTGAGATTCGACCGAAAAGCCACCTAACAAAAGGAAACAACTTTTTTATTGTATTTTATCATTATTAATGAAATTTAAACTTGTAATTAAAACGTAAGTTTAAAAAAAAACGACAAACGAAGTTATAGTCCACCTGATAGTAAGTTTCTACTGCAGTCCATCAACATCCACAGCCAACTCAAAACAAAAAACCGACCAAGTGCGAGTCGGACTCGCGCACCGAGGGTTCCGAACAAATCCGTAGGTATATAAGTTTAAAATTATTAAAAATATTTTTATTATATGATATTACTAAAAATTTTTCCTTTATCTGTGCTAATACGTTGCTTCGTACCAAATTTTAAAATTCTGAGTTCACGGGACTTCGTAGGTTTTGATTCTCTTGCGAGTGTCGAAGATATGCAGTATAAACGGCTGTATCTTTTGGCTCAGAAGTTTGATTTTTTCACAGCTCCAAGGGACAGTAGACTTGAGTATTTGATATGAACTTCAGCTTGATACCTCCACGCGTTCCTGAGAAAAAGGGTCTTGACAGACAGACAGACAGACGGATAAAAGTGATCCTATAAGGTTTCCGTTTTTTCTTTTTGAGGTAGGGAACCCTAAAAAGACCACAGATGCGTCGTCACCTCTGAGGAGGAATGCCTCACAGCCTGTAATTTTACAGGTTCTCTAAACACGTCAGACCGGAACACAGCTGTGCAAGCACTACTTTTTGGCAGCAGAAATAGGTCAAACAATGGTACTTACCCAGACAGACTCCTAGGCAGAAAAGTAGTCCTATCTGTTAAAAAACGCATGTAACATGGTACATAGCAATGACCATACGTCTTGCCGACAACCAGTTGCAATATTCATTATAAAGAGAGTCGAATAAGTAAAAAAACCGTTGCACCTTTCGACACCCATATTTTTTTTTATAGAATGTGTGTGACAAACGAGCACACAGTCCACCTGATGGTAAGTGGATGCTATGAACCTAGGCCATATACATCTACTTTATCCTCGATTAAGAATCAAAATACAGATGCGTCGTCACCTCTGAAGACTACGGCGTAATGCCTCGTTTCCAGTAAAAAGGGTCTCCGGTTCTCTACGCTCACAATGCGAAACAGCAGCATTAAGCTGATATTTTGTGCTAATATTCTATTTACTAAAATATAAACTCGTAAACCTAAATATATGTATATAAGAGAGGACGTCTCACATTCTCTAACTGGCGCCTTGTCTCCAGGATCCGCCTCTGCAACTCTTCGCGGCGACGGACTGCTTCTGGGTCGCGCGAAGTCGGCGCGCGAGATAAGTGTTGAGCCGACAACGAGTTATTGCCTGACAAAATAAAAAAAATATTTAAAGTTTACTCTGCATCACGCCATGAATAACCCCCATTGTTGGACCCCAGCCTTCTTCTGTAAAAGCGAAATTAACCGTAATCGCCAATGGCATATGGATTACAAATCAACCTCTTGTGTAGGTGTTTTACACTAAAATTCTGAAGGAACTATTTTTGTCATCGGGGTACGAACGCACCCTGGTACGTCCGTAACGCCGACCTCCATCGAGACTTAAGAGCTCCCCACAATCCAAAAATTTCTAAAATCGCTTTCTGAGAACTTTATAAAGCCTCAGTCTCACTCTAATCATCTCATTCGTGAGGCAGCTTTCAATGCAGCCCCACTTCCCTCTCGCTATCGAGTCCGCAGGCCGAGAAACTCTCTCTCGGACCCCCCAAACAAGCTTTTGGCCGACCTGGACTGCCTCCTGGCAGCTCAGACCGAATCTTCTCCCTATTCTTAATTTGCCTTAGTTCGACGCACCTCTCAGCGGCTACTCGCCGCCTGCGCCCCCTTTTCCCTAAAGAGGGTCACTTCCGATTCGGCAGAAAGGCCATACAGGCCAAAGCCAGTCCCACAGGTGGTGTTTAGTGCGTAGGCACTTCTTAGTGAGTCCCACATAACCACGCAGCCGGCTGCGTGGTATGCTATGAACATTCACCACCTCCCTCTCCCGCTTCCGGAGGGTAGCCTTGCATTGGGCGCAAGAAAAAGGTGTTTTAGGACTGGTACATACGTGACTACCGCCATCCAGCAGAAACCATGAAAATTTTCTAATATTTTTCATAGTAGTCACGTTAGCTTTCATGTGACGAGGATTTTGACTTGACGTTTCTATACCATTTGGAATATTTATGAAGTCTGATTTCCAGCAATGTATTCGAAATGCTGATTTAAGTGACAGAATTATATTAAATTATATTAAAATGTACCTCCAGTGAGCGTGGAATCCAGCTCAACACCACTGAGGCTATCGAAGGCAGACTTGAGGTACTTTTCGCGACGCCCGGCCGTGTCTATGGATTCACACGAACCCGACAACGGGTTACGGTCTGCGTTGTCACCTGATGGCGTCGACACCTGAAAAATGATAGAAATGAGTCGAAATCGCAAAATTAGCAACACTTATATTCATACTAGCTGGCGCAGCAGACTTCTGTCCTTTTCGGTATGTGTCGAGATAAGTTTCACTCTAACCCTTTTAAATCGTAAATAGATTTCTTAATAACTCAGCCATACCGCCATCTATAAGGTCCAAAATTTAATTTTTTGTGTAGTGATGATGTAAAAGAAATCGCTCCCCAAATTATTTCGTGGGTGTCGTAAAAGGCGACTGAGGGAAACTGAAACAATAAAATACTGCTACTATAAATATCATCATAATGAGGCTAGTCATAGTGGAGAAATATTAATCGCATTAAAAAACGGTATGATTTTCAAATTCATAAAAGTTAGTGAGGTGCTTTACGTGGAACAATCATATAAAAGAGTTCAGTCGCAAAACTAATTGAACTTTGTGATCTTTATATCACTTAAGAAACCCTACTTATATGCAGTCACTTATTCTGCCGATTATGAATTATGTTGATGTGTGCTGCACAGACTTATCTTAACACACTGGATCGTCTTCTTAATTACAGCATCAGATAAATTTTCTTTGTAAATACAACTATGTATCTTTCTTTCGTACTCAGCTTAATTGGCTGACTATTCGTAGGCGCAGATATGTTAGTATACTCTGCACCCTTTTCTCAATTCTAAACAACCCATGAACTCCCGAGTATTTGAAATCTAAATTTCAACACCTGGGAGATTCTCATAATTAAAGTCCGTAAGCATGTCAAAAATCATTGTAAGGTCGAACTAATGTAACTTTATTTAAACGTTAGTTTTATTATAAATAAATAAATAAAAGTAATATAGATGAACAAAATGCTATGAACAATACGTTGAAACAAAAAAAATGTTTTGGTTTATGAGCATTACGAGCGCGTGGTGGCAGCCACGTACGGGTAGGCGAGGTGTAGGGCGGCCCCCCACTAGATGGAGTGACGACCTGGTAAGACATGCAGGAAGTAGATGGATGCAGGTTTCTCAGGACCGCGGTTTGTGTCGTTCCTTGTGGGTGGCCTATGTTCAGCAGAGGACTTGTGAAGGGTTATAATGGATGATGATGGACGATGTATGACTGTACGCGCAGGCGACGCCATCTTGTCTCAAGTGACATGGCTAGCGCTTGGAAGCGTATAAAACATAGTGTGTGACCTCGTCGTCGTCGGAGTCGTGCCCGGAGCCGCTGAGGTCGGGCGCGGGCGCGCGCGGCAGCTGCAGGCGCGGCGCGTCGCCCCCGCCGCCGCTACCCCCGCCGCCCCCGCCGCCGCCCCAGCGCTTGGCGCGCCTCACCGACTGCCGCAACTCCTCCGCGTCCATCGCGTTCACCATGAACTCGCTGCAATGCAATATACCTATCACATATCTATATACTAAAAGTAAACAAAGTTACAGCCTGTATGCGCCCCACTGCTGGTCACAGGTCTCCACTCATTTCTGAGAGAGTTTTAGGGCAAGGACATATCTACCGCGCTGCCCCGAGACATTTTGGCGAACTTCACACGTCTTCGAAATATATATTTTTTTCTCGGACATACAGGTTTTCTCACGATGTTGTCCTTCACCACCCAGCACGTGGGTAAATCAGCACTTAAATTGCAATTAACAATTTATTTGGTGCCGACGGGTGTCGAACCCGGGTTACTCGCGTACTATGAAATTTACAGCCTGAGCTACCACGGCTGATCACATATAATATAGAAATGGAATATAAGACGATGAAACATAAAGCATATAAGCGTGCAAATCTAAGAGAGAATGAAGCGTAGACTGATACGAGGGTGGATTGAAAAGTACTCGGCCTAACACAGATCCATTCAATTCTAAAAATCAAATCTACCCACATTATTTAGTTCAGTTCAGACTAGTTCATTGTGTGAAGTTCGAAACGTGTGCGATAATTAGTTGTGATTTTATAAATTTATTAACAAAGTAATCGGACATAATTTCCGCGAATGGAGCAAATCGAGCAGCGTGCCGTCATTAAGTACCTCCATAAGAAGGGGCTATCATCAAAAGCCATCCATGATGACATGGTCAGTACATTAGGCGATTGTGCTCTGTCATATTCATCCGTCAAAAAATGGATAGCAGAATTTAAGCGTGGTAGAGAGAGTGTGAAAGATGAACCCCGCTCTGGAAGGCCTTCGACGTCAACTACTGACGAAAATATTAAAAAAGTACTTGATTTAATAATGGGAGACCGCAGATTAAAAATTAGAGAGATAGCCGAGATTATAGGCATCTCTTATGAACGAACTCAAAACATCATTGTCAACGAGTTGGGTTTCCACAAGGTGTCTGCGAGGTGGGTTCCGCGACTGCTTTCAGTTGAACAAAAAAGGACGCGATTGACTATTTCACGCGACTGTTTGGAGTTATTTGAAGCCGATGCAGATGATTTTTTTAATCGTTTTGTTACTATGGACGAAACATGGGTTCATTACTGTACACCGGAAACAAAACAACAATCAAAACAGTGGAGAAGACCTGGTTCACCACCCCCTAAAAAGGCTAAGTCGATTTTGTCGGCAAATAAGGTGATGGCTTCAGTATTCTGGGACTCGAAAGGTGTGATTATGATTGATTATCTTGAAAGGGGTCAGAATATACACTCTGATTACTACTGCACCTTACTACGTTGTTTACGAGAAGAAATAAAAGAAAAACGTCGAGGAATGCTCAGAAAAAAAGTCCTGTTTCATCAAGATAACGCCCGTGTTCACACGTCAGTACAGTCAATGGCTGAAATTCACAACTGTGGCTTTGAACTGTTACCGCATCCGCCGTATTCACCTGATCTGGCACCATCAGACTTCTTTCTGTTCCCTAACCTAAAAGAGCACTTGGGAGGTCAAAGATTTTCGACAAACGACGAGGTCAAAGCAGCTGTAGACGCATATTTTGACTCTAAGGAAGAATCATGTTTTTTCAACGGTCTAAATGCTTGGAAGGGGAGGTGGCAAAAGTGTATTGAACTTGATGGTGATTATGTAGAAAAATAAAAATATAACTGATTTAGTATTTGTTTATTTTCTTGGTTAGGCCGAGTACTTTTCAATCCACCCTCGTATATACAAATAAAATGTAGTAATTAATTTACTTTTTGGTAAAAAACACGACTTCCTGTTTTATTACTATGCTATGTGTATAAAATAAAACAGAGAAAAAAGCGTACAACGTAGATATTACTACAAGTATTACTGAGCAAATTGTTTTATTTTCTACCGACTTCAAAAAAGAGGAGGTCCTCCATTCGTGTGGTCTTTTTATGTGTTACCTCATAACTTTTTCTGGATGAACCGATTTCGATGATTCTTTTTTTTTGGAAACTGGTGCTTCTTATATGGTCCTATATAAATTTGATCAAGGCCTAACCAATAGATTTTGAGTTATTCTTTATAATTTATATCGAAGTTGGTTGTACAGAATTTTTAATTTAAAATTATGTTTAACATACTTAATATTAAAAATATAAGTAAAATGAGTGAGAACGAAGTTTACATGAAGACCCATTCCCAAGTAAATCTGAATCTCGTCAAACACTTCTACGTATACTACTACACCGGCTATTCAGACAAAAACTGCGCGACAGCTGTGGATCGCGCGGGAAGCGGGCGCAGGAGGTTAGCTGGCACGGTAAATATGACACGCAACATTATTCTGCTGTTTCAAGCTGATATTCTGTGAGAGCGGTGGTCTACCCTCGACAAGCCTATGCTGCAGCAATATAGCTGCAGCATTATAGATACAGCATAGTTCTACCACGTAATAGTGTTTGCACTCATGTGTTCCGGTCCAAACTATGAGGTATTCCACCTCAGCCCTCAAAGGTAAGAACATATCTATAGACTTATACGAGGGCGGCACTGAAAATTTCGGGAATCAAGGAAGTGACACAACATTACTATTTAAAAATGTATTTATTGCTTTTCGAAGTATTCTCCGCGAAATTTGACACATTTTTCCCATACGATGGAACCAATCATTGAAACAACCATTCCATTCAGAAGTTGGGGTCTCCAAAATGGCCGTTTTGTAGGCGTCCACAGCTTCTTCAGGTGATGAAAATCTCTGTCCACGCAATTTATTCTTTATTTTAGGGAAAGTATAGAAATCATTAGGGCTTAGGTCGAGGCTGTACAGCGGATGGTCTAATAATTCTATGTTTTCTTGACGCACCAAGTAACGCGAGCCGCTTTTTGCTCTTCACAGAGCAAATGCGGTATCCATCGAGAAAACAACTTTTTTACACCTAATTGTTCATGCAAGATTGTTGTATTTAACTCATGCCAAAGTCTAAAGTTGCCTGAATTTCGCGGTATGTCACATGTCGATCTTCCTCAATCAGCTTACGCACAGCATCAACGTTTTCTTGGGTGACTGCAATTTTTGGACGACCTTGACGGGGATCATCACTGAGCTTGACACGTCCACGTTGAAATTCAGTAAACCAGCGATAAATTGTGGTTTTGGATGGGGCTTCATCACCAAATGCAGAAATCATCCGGTCAACACACTGTTTTTGTGTTAAACCACTTCGAAAGTCATAATAAATCATCGCTCTTGAATTTTCTCGAGTCAATTCCTTTCAATTCCTTTTCTCAACGACTAAACAAGTTTGACAAAATCTTGTGACAAGACCGAGAATCTTTTTTTAAATAATTAAATGGTATTCAATTTTAAAAAACCAAGGACTTTTCAATTAAAAAGATTTTAATATGACAGGAACAGTGGAAATATTCTATTCCCGATACTTTTAGTGCAGCCCTCGTACTATGCCACTCTAATACTAATACTATTCGATCTATAGAATCTAGTTCCCAAAAACAACTCACACTAGTATATGCTTTAGTACCGTGGAAACGCTTTACATTCATATATTGCACAAGGACAAACATCCACACTCGAAACAATTATTTGTGGAAGGAAGAAAAAAGTTGAAGAGGATTTATAATTCTGATTTTATATCAATATCAATAAAGTAAAAGATAAGACCTACCCAGGTGTCTCATCATCATTGTTTCCAGGATAATAAGTGGGCCTGTTGCCTCTTTCAGAGGATGATGTCCTCTCGCCATCCGATATGTCTTCAATATCACCGTCGTGTTCCGTCGACTCTTGGTCCTGAGAACAATTGACAAAACTTTAAATGTTTAAATAGTTCATTTAAGAAATGTTGTTTCGAGCTAAACCATGAGTATATTATTATTACATTATAATTGAAGGACTTAATAAAAAAGCATTCCGAAAATAAAAAATGCAACGAAATATTCGAACCTCATATTTAAAACTGCCGAGGGAGGAGTCGTCGGTGTGATGCCGCGTACGGCCTTCAGTCGTACGAACTTTCGACATATTTAACGTTACCTAGTGGACACAACGGAACAAAATAACGACGTTAAACAAAAATAACAAAAATGTGCAATAATCGATAAAATTGCAAATGCGTGAATTCAATTTAAAAAATCAAATTTTATTCTATAAATATATAATTTTATAAAACTTAATGAATTATTATTTAAAATAAAATTTTAAAAAATTTACTCTAAAACAGTGATATATTAACACAACTACAGGTTATAATATCATATTGTTAATAAGCAATAAATGTATTTAGTGCAGGTGCAGTTAATTTATAATGTTAAAATTGTGTAAGAATTATTTTTACAATCGTCAACCTCGCCAATTTCGATACGTAATTTTGTATGTGTATTTTTATAGATGTATCATTGTTTGGCTGATTTTCGCCTTATAATATGTATAATATATGTGAACTACACACGAGGTCGCCATGTAATATCGTTATTAATGAGGCAACCTTTATGTTCCAAGTCCTGTTTAATACTCACTTAAATTTATAATAGGTATTACATTACTGGATACCGTGAGCCACACTACAATTAACATTAATATATAAGTCGTGTGGGTTACTCTACACTACAAATAATACATTAGTCGAAGTCAAAGTCAAAGTCAAAACATTTTTTTATTCGGTTTAGGTTCAGTTCAAAATCTACACCGGTTCGAAAAACAAGATCTCAGGGAAGAACCGGCATGAACTCCGAGGTCTTATATTTTTAAGAACCTGTTACAAGTTCATTTACAATAAAAACTTAATATAATAAAATGCAAAGGTGTATAAATATTTTTAAAACGACAATTTATCGAAATAATACCCGTATCATATCCGAATAAGAGACATCATCATTGTCCTCAATATACAGTCAGTCAGTCAGTCCTTTAAATTATGAATCCTATTATTGCACTATGTAAAAACTTTATTGTAAAATTTTATTAGTTTACATACTAAAAATGATTTTCTAGTTTTACCCAATTTAATAAAAATTACATAACAACATAATAAAAATTATGTATGTATCAAATTTCGCTACGAATTTTTTATTAGTGTAATCATTGCTGTAAAGTATTTCGCATTACAGCTAATTATCGGTTCATATAATATATCGGAATCGGCAAGTTTAACAATATACACTATACACATTTCTGACAGCAACAAACTACTGATACTACCAGAATTTTTTTTTTAAAAAACGTTACCCCCACACTAGGATTTCCTGTGTCGTGGAGGCAGTTTACAAACATAAATTGCACAAGGACAAACATCCAGACCCGGAACAATTATTTGTAGGACATACAAATACTTGTTCCGTGCGGGATTCGAACCCGCGGCCCCCAGCGCATCAACTGATTGCTAAGCCACTGCGCCACGTAACCGTCAAAATTGTAGCGTGTCGACTCAAAAATGTGTTGTGGCAAATAAGTTAGCTCCAACTTCCATTCCAAATCCGAAATTTTAAATACATTGGAAAAGCTCTGATGCCGGATTAAAGAGAATATATAGAGTAACTACAATACATCCAAAATGAATAATTAATACTATCACAATAATAATAATTAATATAAAGTCAAGTCCAAAACTTTTTCTATATAATGCATATGTGTAATTAGTAAGCAAACAAGATAAGCATGCAACATAAGCGACATTCAAATTATCAATTTAAACAATGAGGCTATCATTTACTCACTTCAATTATTATGTGATTTCAAGTTCATGGAAATAATTACCCCATGTGACGACAGTTATTTTTTTTTTACTATTATATACTTTAACAGTCGTAGGTTTTCAAAGAAAGAAATTTAAATTTAGAACTGTTAACTTATTGAATAAAAAATAACATATTTCTAAAAAATGATAAAACATGATATTTCTGACAAGCGTACAAAACAAAAGCGTCGCAGATGTGGACACAAAAATGCAAATTCAAAAATAAATCAATAAAAAAACAAAAACCTTCTCGACTCTTGGAGAGATTGTCAATATGTCGTATGTGGTTTTCATAGTGGCGTCAAAATGACGAAATAGAGCCTCCACACGTGGCAGCTGTGACAAGTTGAGCGATTTCGGCCTCTATTCGCATGTAGGGTAAGGACCATAACCGTATGAAAAAATGTTATTAAGTTATTACTGAGAATTTATTTTTTCTTTACTTTTAAATATAAAAACTAACAGAAAAGAAAAAATAAACCCTAAACTGAAAAAAAATATTAAAAAAATATCAATATCCAAACATCATTTAAACGGTAAATTATTCATTTTATTTTATATTATGGAGTAACATAAAAGCAAGGTTACAGATAAAAATAAATCAATAAATGGCATTTGGATACTTTATTTAAAAATAAATATAGTAAAATATAAACCAACACCGCAACCAAAACCATTGTGAGTGATTAGACAACACAATTAGTGGCACAATTAAAATTGAAACTGAAAGGTGTTGTGTATAAAACCGGCGTGCGATAATTTAGAACTCTTACAGTTGTCCTTCACTTTTAGAATATTGTTGAAGGTATTTGCAACAAGTTTTAAGAGTCATTATATTATAATTAAAATCCCGCTAAAATATAATCACATAAAAAAGCATTCTAATTATTTTTATGAAGATTGGAAGTAAAAAGAAAGTTTTTAGGTTTTCAACGTCGAACATTCTCAGCAGTTCGATCAATGATTTATAATGTTAAAAAAATGTCTTTAGCTTCTGGCGTATTTCCTTCAAAATGGAAAATAGCAAAAGTATTCCCCATACATAAGTCATCAAATATCGATATTATTTCCAATTATAGACCCATTTCAATTCTGTCAACCTTTGCCAAAGTATTTGAGTCGTTAATCTGTCATCATTTTCAACAACATTTAGGCCTGTATATAAGTGATCATCAGCACGGGTTCTTCAGGTCTCGGTCAACTAGTACGAATTTAGTTCCCTTTACGGAGTTCCTGTTCGAGGCTATTGACATGGGCTATCAGGCTGATGTTATTTATACTGACTTTAGCAAAGCTTTTGACAAGGTTTCGCATAGGATCTTGATTTCTAAGTTGAGTGCCTACGGGATTTGTGGCTCGTTACTCAAATGGTTGAATTCGTATTTAGTGCACAGGACCTTCTTTGTTGCAATTAATGGTTTTCAATCAAATACAAAAACTATAAGTTCCGGTGTTCCTCAGGGTTCTCATTTGGGACCAGTTTTATTTAATTTTTTCATAAATGATATTAAAGAATGTTTTCACTTTTCAAAATATTTTTTATATGCCGATGACTTAAAATTTATGAGAATAATTAAGAATGATGATGACACCAAATTGCTACAAGGTGACATTGATAGACTAATCCAGTGGTGCTGCAATAACAGAATGTGCTTAAATACAAGTAAATGTTATCATGTTAAATACTCTAAAAAACAGAATTTAATACATGTCAGTTACTTCATTTATAATAATAAAATTAAGGAAGTCGAGACTATTCGGGATCTTGGCGTAATATACGATAAAAAATTAACTTTTGTACCACATTTGGATAACATTATTATGAGAGCATCTAAAATGTTGGGATTTGTTATAAGGAACTCAAAAAATATGCATTACAAAACTAAAATATTTCTTTACAATAGTCTAGTTCGTAATATTTTAGAATATTGTAGTATGGTCTGGAGACCACACTATGCTACACATTCATTACGTATTGAACGTGTTCAAAAGCGGTTCCTCTGGCATCTAGCATATTCTATTGGTAAAGCAAAAAAGCTACGGTCCTATAATAGCAAATTACATCTTTTTAATGTGGAAACCTTACAGAGTCGCAGAAAGTATAATGATGCAGTTTTTGTACATAAAATATTTAATTCTACATTTAACTGCCCAAGTTTAATGGAACTTTTTAAATTTCGTGTACCCTCGAGAGTACCCCGCAGTTCTATTGCACCACTTAGTTCACCATTAAGAAGAACTGTATTGGGAAGAAATTCTCCATATGCCAGATTCTGTAAAGTTATTAATGAATACAGCGATCAAATCGACATTCACTTTGACTCACCCAGAATATTCTCTACGTGTCTCCGTAAATGTATAAGTTAATAGCGTAAAGTAGATATTTTTTTAAATTTTAAATTTTTTATTATTTTCATTTTAATTTTAATTTTTTGAGTTTATGTAGCACTATTCTTACTAATAGATATATTTTTAATTTTAGTTGAGGAATAAGTTATTGTTTTTTCAGTTTATTTTTATAAAGTTATATGCATGCGGAGTTTACCTTTAAGTAATTGTAGCACTTTTGTTAATAGTTTTAAGTTATTGTACTAATTTGATGTGTTAGTGTTAGCAATTGTTGGTAAACCTAATAAATAGAAAAAAAAAAAAAAAAAAAAAAAAAAGCACAAAGATTTACAGCTCAACCCAGCTATAATACAAATTTTACATTAAAAAAAAACAAGAAGTTCTTATTACATACCTGTTTCAAACTCTGATCTCTTCTCTTTTCAATATACCTTGTGTCTGTACCACTATCTAACGAACTGTCTTTTGATCCATCTGAGTCTACTCGTTTCTCTGTAACATGATTAAATTTAATTATCTTTAATATAAATATGTCCCAATTTTTATAATTTTATGTTTATTTTTTTGGATTTAACAAAAAGTACCTAATCAATGGACAAAAGTAAGAACAATGTCAGTTACATTCAAACAGTAGAACAATGACTAGAGATGGTATTCTCTTTGTCACATAAACAGCTCTTTTAATGAAGAGTATCCTGCCTACTGTGAACCCCGCAGTGGACGTAAAAAGGCTGCATAAATTAAAGATAGTGGGATGAACTTTCTTCTTATAAAACTGAAATGATAAACAAACTTACATTCCACCTGATGACAATGTGCTACTGCATTACAAACGGTATCTACAGCCAACTTCATAAAAAGAAAGCTACAGATGCGTTGTCACCCTTGGAGACTAAGATGGAATGTATCACAGCGTGTAATTATATTGTCTCTATTATTATGACCAAATACTCAAACGGTACTCAATTTTAAAACGTTGATTTAAGTCTCGTGGTGTCACAATCGCTGACATAAAGTAATAGAGACAGCAGGAGATATAACGGGCATCTTAAAATTGAGTAGCATTTATGTATTTGGGTATATAACTTTCAGATCGTACATAGGATAGAATAGAATAGAATAATTCTTTTATTCAATATAGCTTACATGCAATTCTTATTGAAAGTTATTTTTTACATTACCACTGGTACGTAAAAAGCTTCTGACCTGGTAAAAATCAGCAAGAGACAAAGTGGGAATGGGAATATGAAAGGTTACAAACTATTTACAAAATTTATTTTATTAACAGGTTGAAAGCGAGCACCAATGCAAACACTAGTATTTGGCGGCAGAGATAAATGCTGAGGTGTACTCTCACTGACCGGGCGCGGGCTGTATCCTGGCGGCCCACTTGCCGCGCGCGGGCGGCGCGGGCGCGGGCGGGGGCGCGGCGGGGGAGGGCGGGGCCTCCGGCGCCGCCAGCTCGTCGCCCAAACTCTTCTTGGCCCACGACGGCAGTTTGCCGATTCTTAACCTGTAAAGTTTGAAAAATTGCTACTTGAGCGATAAACATTTTTTATTTCATATATTTAATATAGATATGCGCAAATAATCAACAATCAATGGGTAAGAAATATTCTCAAGTGGCAACCTCGTACCGATAACTGAAGTGTAGGACGGCCCTCCACCCAATGGAACGACGACCTGGTAAGCCATGCAGGAAGTCTATGGATGCAAGTAGCTTAGAACCATGTTATGCGGAATTCCTTGGGGAGACCTACATTCAACAGTGGCCTTAAATGCTGTAATAGTAAACAACAAACAATAATCATACTATTCTTTTTCCTCTCCTACTGTCAGAATGTGACAGTCTACTGCTGTACATAAATCTCTCATTGCGGGTTAGATGGTGCTGGTGGATGCCCTGTTGGCAGTCGGAGTTTCTTTTAAGCATAGAGTCCACCTGATAGTTAGTCGACACTGTAATCAATAGACAACTCATCTATCCTTGATTAAGAATCAAAATGTAGATATGTTATCACCCTTGAGGATTAAAATAAAATGCATTACTACCTCTCTACACTTACACACACTATTTTGGGTATTACGTTATGTACGAGATGATTATACTGCCATCTACCGGAATCAATATCTTACTGACTCTTCCTGTAGCCACTTCTTCTTAGAATGCTCCTGCCAAGCGTGGCGAATATAGCATTTTTTACTACAATGGGAGGAATTAATTTTCGAGCAGATAAGATTGTTTTTGTCGATGTCATCCATTTAAAATGGCTCGTTCGTGTGCCTTTTTTCTAAGAAACCTATTTGAATGTTGATATATTAAAACCATTGTCTCAAACAATCAATTATCACTGTGTATTTTTGTAATCCTTAGGAGTATGTATAAGTGATCGTACATATAAATAAATGTAAAATGTTTAGAACTTCTTTGCTAACTACATAAATCCAGAATTATAATTTTATATTAACTTCGACAAGATTTCAAGCTATTCAGATCGCGCGCAGATTTATAATATTTTTGTTTGAAGTTACTTGCAGGTGTAAACATCAACATAATATAAATGTTTGTTACTCTAAAACTCTACCCTATTATTATAAAAAAATGTAGACTTACGTGTAATCGGCAACAACTGGTGTACCAAACTTGTTCGTATCACCCAGCTCACGTGGTGGCGATCCAAACTGCGAGTCCGTCTCGCTATCTAGACCAGAAGCGCCATTCGTTGAGGGCGCCACCTTCCTGCAAATACAGAATCGATAAATATCATTCATTCATTTTAAGAGATTTGATCATTATCCAAAGTTAACTTTTAAAGTAACAATAGCAAAAAAGAGCATAAAAGACCTTAGCAATGAACTATAGCCATAGCAGCGATCACAATAGATCTTACAGGTCGCAGTGATATTGGTCTTTCTAAACCTGCATAGCTGCTTGCAAATTAAAAAAATAATAATAGCTAAGGGTTTTTTTTTTTAATTAAGGTAGACGGGAGCATCGTCAATAAGGATACAAGACGTGTCAGCCGCCCGCCACCTGACATGTCTTGCGAATTACAACAACTTTTGAAATAATCATGTCCTGCATCCAGTAGTGGACGATAACAGGCTGATGAAAAATAGCTTAAGTTTCATCTGTACACATTAATAATAAAATTTTCAATTGCGTTATAAATTATCAAAACGAACAATTTTTAAAATCAAGAGGTAATTTTTACCTACATTTTAATTAAATTAAATAGGTACATAGGTGAAAATTAAAAGGTCATTTTTTACCTACCTTTTAATAAAAAAAATTAAGATTTAAAATTGAAGTCTTACCTGCCCTGTCGTATAGCTTGCTGTGCCAACCTGGCCCTCATTGTAACAACCATATCGTGAGGGACTCGCCAGACAAATATGCAACCGTCGCCACTTGCAGATACCAAATGTTGGCAGTCCGGAGTGAACCTAAACGATATAAAAATGTCTGTTTAAAAAAGTTTTTGTCATAGATTATTTTTATAAAAATCATATTTTTATTTTATTGACAAATTTTACTAAAACTGTTTTTTAGGAACGCATAGTTTTTTAAAGGATGTTTATGCATTTATAAAAAAAAATATTTGCGTAGTAAAAAATCTCATGCTAGTTGAATCTTGCAAAATAAACGCACACTTTTAAAAGAGAATATGTGCCAGTCCTAATGATACATACATCAAACAAATTTCGTCATCATTTATATCTATAAAAAATGTTGGGTATATATATTGTTAAATAAAAACAACATACTTCAGTCCTGTGACTATCTCCGAATGTCCGTACATGGTAGCCATACATTCACCCGAGTAATAATCATAAACGCTGAGAATCTTGTCCGTGCTTGAGGTAGCTAGGTAAATACCACTATTATCCAACGCAACCTGAAATAATAAAAAATAAAATTTCTTATTAAAATACCATATGACTTGATGAATGAATGAAATGAATTATGAAAATGAAAAATTATGCATGTTGCTGAAAAATAAAGTAAATTAATTACGATTGGTATTATTCTTGATTTCCTTTTACCTTAATAAGTGTTCCATCTTCAGCCGTCGTACCTCTAAAGGTTTTCGTATGTCTTCCGTGGGCTGCGCTGTACACTCTAACATTGCGATCCTATAAATAAGACATATAAAGTATTTAAGCAATGAGGTATATCATTTCCTATTATTTTAGAAACAGGATTTTTTTTTATATTTACGGGATAACTAAATATTGAGTAAAACCAATTATTACTTTTTTGATTTTCGTCGCATTTTGTGTTGCGATTTTCGTCGCAATAACTTTTAACTTAAATTTATGAACTTAACGCCACAATATATAATAACGCCTTATAGATAAGATACAATAAGAATTACAATTAATATAATATAATATTATTATTTAAGCCATGTCGTGTAGAAGCGTTGTAAACGAATCCCCTACCTCATATACAAAAGTAAAAGAAAAATGAGATGGGAATAGCAAATATATAATAATAAACTGCGGTTGCAACTACGGCGAGTATCCTCGATAAGAGGGAATCTACGGGGGAGAGCCTATGTTTAGCAGTGAATTGTAATGACTGAATTTATTCTTATACATATGTAATATAATTAAGGACCGATAAAGAGCTTATAAAATATTAAATATGAACCATGTTATTTTTACATGAATAACTGCAATTTATAAATGAAGTAAGAGATAATAAATCTCACAAAATTAGAGATCTGTGCCCAGATTCAGGACAGTTGTAATTGTAGTTAAAAGTAGTTACCTGACAAGCGGTAAGAATATGTCGCCCGCCCGCATCTACTTCCATATCGTAGAGCGTTGTCCGACCGGAGACATTCTGTCCACGAGCGAATTGATAACTGCCATCTTGTGTCTTGAAAAAATACAATGCAATGGAATTGTTATTCTAACAATAAATATTCAAAAATCAACTATATGGCGCACGAAACAAACAAATAACACTTACAGTTTTGAGTTGCCTAAAGAGTATGGTCTTGTCAGCCCCACAGGACACCATCTGCAACCCGGAGCTAGAGCTGAGGAAGCGCACCGCCGTAATAGACGATGAGTGTTCGTCTAATGTCTGCAGGATTTGGTAGCCCTGTGAAGAAAACATAATATGTATTTATAAATGGGTACTTTAAATAAAATATTATGTATACCTTTATTATAGTCATTGGCGGCCTATGTTCAATTGTAGATTTGTGAAGGGTATCACGATTGTGATGGTAATAATTATAATTATAGATTAATTAATTATGATAATTATTAAGTGTTAATTAGTATAAATAGGCATCGAGTGAAATTGGTGACATCGTTACGGACGAACTTATACGCTCATAATATATGAACATCCTTTAAAAAAAAAGTAAATATTATTGTTTAGGCCCAAAATGGTCATGTTAGACTGCATCCAATCGCCTTCTGCTTGGCGAATCACCCGATGGTGTCAAGGTGAGGTAACGCCGACGGCGGGGGGGGGGGGGGGCGTGCCGCTGGCAGACACTCGACGCGCAAGCAGAACAGTAACTTTAGGGCCGCGGCGCCGTCGCAACGTAACTAATTTGTAGTGACCGTGGCAGCGATTTCGCGCAACCAGTTTTTGTTTTATGGTCTAGATTTTCAGTATTCGTGCGCGTTACGTCGTTATTTATAACTTTACTTTAATTGTGTAAATGAAGACCGCCTCGGATTAGGTGGTATATTGTTTGCTGTTAGTCGACTCGAGCCGTGTGCTTACCTCTGATAGTGTCGATTTTGTTAGCAAATTTGTGCAACGACGAGTAATTGTGTAGTCTAGAACATTAGACGCCGGGTTGACTAATTGTTGAGAAGTTAATGTTTATTTGTACCGTTGCGTTAAGTGCCTTAAAAGGTCGCGTTCTGTTTTCGAAATGTTTTGTTGCAGAGTGAACGGAAGTGAACTTTGACCCACCGTTACCAATCGTGCCGCGTGTTACGTTTGTAATTATAATTAACGGGATTTAGTTTCGTTTTGAAGTTAGTTAAATGTACAATAGAGTTGATAGACTGACATAGTGAATTGAAGAAAGAAATTGACCGTGAGTGACGCCGCTGGAGAATACCATACTTTGGGGCTGTGCCGGAGTCAGGGTTGCTGCCGACTCCAACGGTCCAGTCAGGTCAACCATAATCCACACCACTAAACACCACTATACATGCACCTACACACCTACGGCCGGATCGATCCTTGGGACAGTCGTCGCCTCAGAACCAGGTACGTCTTATTTATTTACCTCGCCTTCTCCCTATTGTGTAGTATGATAAGACATTTTCCATAAGGCCACTTGGGCCCTGTCCTTAGTTGTCCGTCGAACCTAACAGCTGTATGGGCCCCTGTATGGTAGACCTTAGTCAGGGCAACTAGGTGCAAGAACAATTATTATGTTGTAATTTAGACTTCATATTAGAATCACTAAGAATTTCTTATCGTGGAGGCGTTTTATATACAAAAATTACATCTGGAGAAAGTACCAAATTTGTTGTTAAAATGCTGTTTGAAGAATATAGGGCTAATAGTCTTTGGGTACCACGTTTTTGAATAGATTTTCTGCTATAAATCGGTCAATACAGCTTCGTTCATAAATTAGCAGGGTTTAATAAATGCAGGTAAGATAGCAAGCATTTGAAGAGGAAGTAGGTGTATTCATTCATAAATTCTTTATATATATTATAATAAATAATATATAATGTATATAACATATGCTGTCTCAAGAGCCAGGAGAGATGTTTATTCACGCTCCATCATGATAGTACAGCTAAATGAAACGATAAAAATAAAAAAAAATCATGAAAATAATTAAACATAAAACCAGCAGTGAAACTTAAAATATAATCAGCTGACAATAGAGTCTATATTTTCGCGGACGCCGAACTCTTATCTAGCTCGGTGCAAAACAATGCCTCACTCTACCCTTCCCTTTCACACACGCGGTATCGTCACCCGGCCGGCTCGTGTTGCCTCGCGCTGTGGAATTTACACATGTAAGCTTTGCCAACAAGTGGCGAATTCCCATAATTGCGGGGAATTTAAAGTTGGTTGGGGATTTTATGGGGATTGGTATTATGCGGGAAAAATATGGCGATTTTGAAAATCGATAGCCAGGGTCAAGTCAGATCCTTTTTTCAAGAAATCTAAATACTTATCTTAACATTTTGTAAGGTTACTTATGAATATCGAATGACTCCCTTTTTTTAATCATCTTCAATGCACCACATTTAATTTTCGGATTTATTTCGGCAACATAATGTGTATCATTTAATGCTTTTCATTTCTTTATTTTTTAAGTAAAGAAAAAAAATTTATTTAAAAGTAAATCCTTATAAAATTAATTGAAAATTGTTTCAATTCTTAAAATAAAATTGAGGGGAATTTGAGGGGAATCTGTTGAAGTTTTGTCCTTAAATTGGGGAATTTGACATGAATTTTCGGGGAAATTGATAAATTGGTGTTGGCAACGCTGCCATGTTACACCGAAGTTTACATACTAAGATTTGTTTCCCGGCGACATAAGAATTAGAGGCGGCAGTCATATAAAACTTGCAAGTAATTTTTAATAATTTTGACGTACCTCTTTTTAAATTCAAAGTATTGGTCGGGTTAAATACGGAAAGTCAATTAAAATAAAGTAAAATATTATTATTTACATTAATTCTGATAGATTAATTAACTGTCGATCATAATTGCCATTGATTTTAACATATAAATTATTCAGTACCATTTTATTTCTATTTTCTTATACAAAATCAACGATAACGATGAAATAGTGTTTATAATTGTGAGTAGTGAATACCGAATTAGGTACGTTTATTAATTTCAATATAATTTTTGTAGTAAAGAACTGCTTGTAGCGTCATGGTATAATTGATTGTGTAATTGTATTAAAAATGACAATCATAACTTCTAAACTTCATATGAAGACTAGTCGTAGGGATAATTAAACTTATACATAAAATAAACGTTGGCAATATCGTAACGGTTTAACGGTCTGTGGAAATGACCAGTGCTTCAAGGACATTACGACGCACGAGGTACGTTTTGGCGGGATTGATTATTAAATTTAGTTTTTAAAACAGTCCCGTGTTGACTATCACTTTGTATTTGGTTTATTTAACCTGTGAATTCGAATTAAAGTGGCTAGGTGGAGACAAGCATAGTGACAAAATAGTAGGATAAGTAGATAAGTTAGGTATTTAGACAAATGTTGTAAATTATTAGGCATTGTCGTACCATCGCTAGCTGCGGGCTGCGTGAATTCGGCGTCCGCGAGTACATAGACCCTTAGTCAGCTGATTAGAGCCGTGGTAGCTCAGATGGTTAGAGCTCGCTGTAAGTTTCACAGTATACGAGAAACCTGGGTTCAATCCCCGCCGGCACCAATGAAATTGTTAATTGCAATTTTAAGTGCTGATTTACCACGTGCTCGGCGGTGAAGGAAAACACCGTGAGGAAACCTGCATGGCTGACAAATAAGAAAAAAAAAATATTTCGAAGACATGCGAAGTTCGCCAACACGCATTGGGGCGGCGCGGCGAACCTTTACTTGCCCTAAAACCCTCTCAGAAATGAGAGGAGGCCTGTGCCTAGCAGTGGGAGGTGTATATAGTCTGTAACTTTACTGTTACTTTACAGCTGATTGTAATTCTTCTACTGGTAAGTATTTTTATGATTTTTTTATTAAATAATCGTTTCATTTAGCTGTACTAACATGATGAAGCGTGAATAAAGTTAATAAAACATTGTGAAAAGATGTTTTCTTTCCTCGGGATCGAATTTCTTTCTGACCCATCATTAAAGGTAAATAAATAATAAATAAATAAATAAATATCATTTTATTGCCACTTTTAAACACATGTTTACATATAAAGTAATTATTTAACCTTAATTTAATTTAGGCAAACGGAGGTGACTCAGCTTTTGCTCACATGGAACTAGATCCCATGAAGCGCTGATTTTCAGGCACTCCTTCTTCCCTGAGATGTTACACGGGTGTTATGAGAATTTCGAGTTCCCCAATCACCTCTTTCATTTACTCATTTATCATTGGAATTTAACATGGTATGGTTGTGAACTTTCATAATTATTAATTAATCAGTTAATAATTCTTGCATTCGTGCGCACGCGCGCGCGCGCACGCGTATGTGTGTATGTGTGTGTGTGTGTGTGTGTGTGTGTGTGCGTGCGTGCATGTGTGTATGTGTGTGTGTATGTGTATGTGTGTGCGTGATTGTACAGTTTATAATATAAGGGGATGTTTTATAAGGGTTATATCATAATGTTAAAAAAAGTCTCTTAAGTTTATATATTTCCAGTAGGTATGTTTCAAGTTTTCTGCAGCAATTTGCCGCTTCAGCAATGCTGATTTATATTTAGCTTTGAAGCTTTCCGTACTCATTTTATTTCTCATAGGAGGGGGCAAATCGTTCCATATCCTTGCTGCAACAAACTTGAAACATCCTCTGTACCGCGTTGTTTTATGTTTTGGCATGCTTAACATGTTTAACTGTAATACTTGTGTAATACTTAACATGTAAAGGTGGAACTGCAGTAATTAAATTGAGATAGTACCAGGGTATCACATAAAAGTATCCGTAAATCCTCCTTAAGATATGGTCTGATTTTGTAGAGCGTTTTCAGCTTGAAAAATGCTGTCCTTATTTTGTTATTAACGTGATCAATAAATTTTTGTTCCCCATCTAAAATCAGGCCGAGATTACGGGCAGAGGTTACTTGTTCCAGAATAACATTATTTATTTTTACTTTTTCTCCAACGTCTAATACATTTTTTATTTGGCGTTTAGTGCCTAAGACCAACATTTGAGATTTGGCTGCATTGAGAACCAAAGAGTTATTTTCAGACCATGTGTGAATACTTCTCAGGTCATCATTAACTTTCTCAATAGCTTTTCGAGCGTCTTTACTGTAAAACGAGTAGTACAGTTGTGTATCATCAGCATATAAGTGATATTTACAAAACTTTATATGCCTAGGTAGATCTGCTGTAAAAATTGTAAATAGGACTGGACTAAGTAGAGAGCCTTGAGGTACGCCGCGCTGAACTGACCTGAGACACGACCGTCTTTTTTCTCCGTATTTGTCGTCAGTTTCTACCATTTGTTCTCTATTAGCGAGGAAACTGTGAAACCAGAGACATGTATTCTTTGAGAATCCATAGCAACTTAGCTTATCTAAAAGTAGTTCAGTTTTCAAACAGTCAAATGCTCGAGAATAATCAAGTAATACCATTATACTACTCATCCCCATATCCGAAGCCTCGGTCAGGTCGTCTGTGACGTGTAAAAGTGCAGTTTCTGTACCATGACCCCTGCGAAAGCCCGACTGAAATTTAGGTATTACATCTCTGGTTTCTAAGTAGTTCAGCACTTGATTTAACACTACTTTTTCTAAAACTTTAGATAGTACTGGCAAAATCGAAATAGGACGCAAGTCTTTTATTTCGGTAGGAGAATTTTTTTTAGGTATGGGCCTTACCAGTGCTCTTTTCCAACATGATGGAAAAGTATTTGTTTCAATCGACTTATTCAGTATCCTCGTAATAATAGAAAGAGTCACATCTAGAGTCAGGTTAATCATCCCTATACTAATGCCATCGTGTCCCTCTGCATTGGTCTTTATATTATTAATAATAACTTTTACTTCTTGTTCTGTAGTAGATTTTAGGACCAGCATGTCAAGCTCTGGTGTATCAATTAAACTAGTGAAGTTTTTTTGAACAACTGTTTCGTTACTGACTGGTAAATTCAAAAAGTGGTCGTTGATTTTATTGGGGTCATTAAGATGTTCAGGAATTATGGATTTGTGCACGTAATCAAACTGGGTACTGTTTTTTATGTTTTTCCAAAGTAGAGTCGGATTTTTCATATTGTTATTTACAAAATTGTTATAGTAGGCTTTTCGTTCTCTTTCAATTGTTGCGGTAACAAAATTTCTTATATTTCGGTAATAATCTTTCGAGCTGTCTTTTTTGTCTTTCTGCGCTTTCGTTAGAGCTTTATCGCGAAGTTTCATCATAAATTTAACCATGTTTGTAATCCATGGTTTAGGCTTATCTTTGAGAACAACCTTACGAATTGGTGCATGTATGTCAAATAATTTTATTATATACATGTTAAAAGTTTTAACCATTTCATCTACATTGTGTAGATTATATATAGATTCCCAGGGAATAAGTTTTAAGTCCTCTGTAAACTTATCTTGATTTATATTATATAATGGTCGTTGAAATCTTACTTCTTTGTTTAACTTGGGTTTTTTGATATCTAAATCAACAATTACTAATGCATGGTCACTTAAACAGTGGTTATGTATCACATCAATATTTTTGCATTTTAAAGGGCTGTCAGTCATAACGAGGTCTATTATGGTTTGGGAATGGTCGGTGATTCTAGTCGGTTCCTTTACGAGTTGCTGAAGACTGTGATGATAACAAAAATGCTTAAGTTCTTTCACCTTTGAAGAGCTTACACAAGCCATATCAATATTGAAATCGCCCAGGATACATGTGATGTCACATCGTGCCATAGAATTCATTGTCTCACTAAGTGCATCTAGAGTTTCTTGAACACTAACATACTCCGGTCTATATGCTGTACCGATTGCCATAGTGGTTCCTGGTAGTTGAACTTCTAGCCACATTTGTTCCAGTGGAGATCTTGGATGTTCTCGTATCCTTGTACTTATATTGTGTCTTACATAGAAGCCCACTCCTCCGCCTTTTTTAACCTGTCTTGCTCTATGTATAAATTTGTAGTTCGGTATCACTGGTGCCAGTGCCTCCTCTCCTGCCTTTAGCCAGGTTTCATTAAGGGCAAGGATATCAGGCGAGTAGTTAAGAAAAGTTACAAATAATTCTTCTTTTCCGGTATTTATGGATCTAGCGTTTAATAACCCTAATCTCAAATAATTTTTCTTTAAGCTAGACATTATCGCGCGTCACGGTTAATACATTACTAGGATAAAAGCTATAAAGATAAACGTTACGTTGTAAGTGAGTGTGATCTATTTGTGTGAATGTGTAGAGTGTGAATGTATTTGTTTGTGTTGCAAGAATATATCTTAAAAGTATATTACATCTTAAAACATAATCTATATTAATATAACAAAAAACGTTTATATAATAGTTTAAATTAAATGAAATGAGAAGACATATGAGATCAAATATCAGGTGATCCAAAAACCCTAGAGAGATCTGTTTCAGTGCGCAACCGATGTCGCGGTTTCCCTTGGTCCTTACGTGCGTAGATTTTTCCGTCTCGCGTCCACAGATACTTGAATTTAAGATCGCGGGCTAGAGCGCGCGCTTTTTGAAACAGAAGACGATTTTGTTTGGTCAGACGTTCATTGATGTACAAGGATCCAACCGGTCCAGGGAACTGCAAGCCTTCGGTGTTCAGATCGCGTCGAATTCGCGCGGCTTGTAATAAGGCATCCCGTGTAGTACGACGCGCTAAGCGAACCACGAGAGGGCGTGGTCGTACATGCGCTTCACTCTCTGTAGTCCGTCGCACAAATCCCACTCTCTCTGCACTTACAATGTCCTTTTCGTCAAGCTGAACGCCAATTTTCTTCGCTACTGTAAGCACAATATGAACGCAGTTCTCATTTGCCCTTTCCGTACACCCAGCTATTTCAAGGTCATTGAACAGTAGGGCCTGATCTCGCTCCGCAACATCAGATTGTAACTGTGCGATTGTGTTCTCTATACTTGAGATATCAGGTTGGTGCACATCCTTTGACTTACTCTCCAGAGTAGAGATCCTAGCTTCCAGCTGTTCTATACGCGTGTTTAGTACTATCGTTTGTCTTCGTTTTTGGGAGTATTTCACTAATACCCGATATATAAAGGATCATTTTTTGTTACTTGACACTGGTTCTGGCCGGTACAACAGTACGAGTCCATTACAAAGAAAAGAATATGCATTAGCTGTTGCGCGTACGCACCCGGTCGACGAGGAAGACGTGCACGAGGCGGTCGCGCGAGGCGGAGGCGAGCAGGCGCGGGCGCGCCGCGTACTCCAGGCACAGCACCTCGGCGTCGTGCGCCTCCAGCGTGTGCAGCGGCGCGCCGTCCGCCGCGTGCACCCACACGTTGCCCGCGCGGTCGCCCGCCGCCACGTGCCGCCCGCACGGCGACACGCGCACGCACCTGCACACAATTTACAAGCGCCATTTGCTACCTTATTGCTTGCAAACTTAATGTTTTTTTTTTTATATATATATAGTCTAGTAGTAGTATAGTCTACCTGATGGTAAGTGAATGCTGTGGCCAAATATACACTTACATCTATCCTCGATTAAGAATCAAAATGCAGATGCGTTATCACCCCTGAGGACTAAGATGGAATGCCTCGAATCCAGTTATAAAGATATCCGGTTCTCTTCACTCATCATACGAAACATATATCAAGCTGATATTTTACGCTGGTATTCTGTGAAAGCGTGGTCCTTTCCCGGTGGAGCTGAACCACTCATGCTACAACCATAATATAGTTGCAACATGGTTCTACCACATATGCAGTATGGCTCTACCATAGTCTACGATCCCAAACAATAAGGCTGGAAATATCATACACACGCACCCACGCGCAAGCTCTTTACATGTCACGGATAATCTTACAAGCATCGTTGCTTACCTTAATGGTTGCGATGTTAATGTTGGCCTACGATCCCAAACATTAACGTTACATGTCACGAATATCGGACATATATATCGTGTTTTTTAAACACGATTTTGACTTTCGGAAAAAATATACACAGACATGAAACACTTAATTAAATTCTTAGTTGAATGGATTTTTAAAATACTTTATAATTTAATCGCCGGGAAGAAACTTTAACATTCGAGTACTATTTTATTTAAACGATAATTATTTATTTTACGATAATAATATGTTATTGAATTAGATATTTAATCGGCTCCATTATTATTAAGATCCTTTATTTGCTGATTATAAGTAAAAACGTTTATTAATAGTTTATTTTTATTAAACTTTAAAAAAATTAGAAAACTTGCAACTTCTCTATTATTCCGTACATTAATCGATACGTCACCGTGCGTTGTGCTACCCTTCGCTGTCGTTTATTCTATGTGGAAACAACACCGAAGGGAAGTGAGCGTTCGGTAAACATCGGCGAATCCCACCCACCTGTTTTAGCTTGCTTTCGTTCAGTTCATCTGTAGACTCAACTTTATGCATCGAGCTGAACGAAATTAAAAAAGATACTAGTTTTTTTTTTTAATTATTGTAAATGTGACCACTAGCAAATACCCTGGCTACTTAAACATGGTGTCAAAATAAGGCAATACATAACATTTAATGCAATATAGATATATTTATAAATATTTGTACCTCACACCAATCTTGTCATCATACGTTTTCGACTTGTCTTTATCACTGGTGGCAGTCAGGTCCACATCCTTCAGGAACTTCAACTCAGGATCGATGTATACAATTTTATTCAGCTCCTGAAAACAAGAGGCAGTGTATTATTTGCAATTGGTTTGGACATGGTACAAATAAGAATATTACCTATTTCCTTATATAGACAGAAGTTCTTTCTAGTTTTAAATTTTATCTATACTAATTTAATAAAGCGGAAGAGATTTTTTTTTTATTGTTTAAACAAGCTAATCTTTAGAACTACCAGTCCGATTTGAATTTTTGTATATTATAACCAAATACATGCGGTAAAAAATACAATAGGCTATCTAGCATTTAGACTTCAGAATGTATATTTCAACTTGTAGTTAACGTATGAGATTATTATTAAATTTTTTAGACTATTATTATAGCGTAGGTATTTTCGATGTATCTGTTACGTGACATTATTTAATTTGCGGCGTTAGCCTGTTGTGTAATTATTTTTAAATGACCAGTATATAGCCTTAAATTTATATACTTTCTTATATTTTAACTATACTTTTGGCTCCTAATTAATACCTTCGGTTCTTCAATGTTGATTACAAATCACGATCATCTCTGCGAAAAATAAACCGCTCTCAAAGATTACACCCGCATTCATTGACATCCTGGATATCTTATTATCAGCATCCCAGTAGGCCATTCGAGATCCTTTCTGCCCCATCGGTTGTCGGTTGTTCCAATTGTATGTGCGGGCTATTGTCACTTGAGGTTAGTTTGACTTACGTTGCTGTATATGTTGGGGCCGGCGGGCTTGAGGTTCCAGACGCGCACGGTGTCGTCGCTGGAGCAGGTGAGGAAGCTGCCGGGCGCCAGCGCGCCGTCGCCGGAGCTCACCATGTCCACGCCCCAGATGCACGCCGAGTGGTACAGCGCCGAGTGGGATTTACCCACCTGCCGAACGACAAAATATTACATTCCAATAAATATTCCAACATTCAATTAAATAAGTAATGTATTCATTCAATAGAATCTATCAAACTTCCTTTGCTAAATATAGGCCTCCCCCATAGATTGCCTCATAGATGGGCGGAATATTTATCATAGTTGCCAATCTTGCATTCACGATTTTTTTGCCACCAGGGCGGCGGTGTAATATTTGACAGATTTCACAGCAGGGAAGTTAACTTGTTCGGAAAATGTAAAGGTTAATGTTTCTTTCTTTACTATTATTAATTTTACATAAATTAAATAAAAAATAAAAAACCAAACCATAAATATTCATAAAAATAAAAAAAATAAAAAAGGAGTTAAAAATGTGCAAAACATTAAAGAGCAAACCACTGAAGCATTGTTTTGGGTATTAACACTTTCACTGTCCGGTTTTGAGACACAATAGTAAGACAATAGCAATGACCTATATTTAGTGCACGGGACAGCGGAAGATTTGATATAATGCTCTAAAAACTGATAAACTTTTATTTAAAATTAATTTCTCAATTAAATGACATTGTGTAATAAAAAAATTTACCTCAGTGTCAACTAGTGACATCTGGTGAGAGATTTATTGATCATTAGCCCTCATTGCCACGCGTGGCAGGCGGTTTAGTAACCGAAGCCTTTTTATTGCTCGCTACCACTGCTCGGTTAAACAAATAATAATAAATAATTAATTTTTTTATAGGATAAAGGTGACAAACGAGCTCACAGTCCACCTGATGGTAAGTGGTTGCTGTGGCCCATAGACATCTACATCTATCTTCTATTACGAATCAAAATGCAGATGCGTTGTCACCCGTGAGGATTAAAAGATGGAATGCCTCGTTTCCAGTAAAAAGGGTCTCCGGTTCTCTACACTCACCATACGAAACACGGCAGTGTTAAGCTACTATTTTACGCTGGTATTCTGTGAGAGCATGGTCCTTCCCCGGTCGAGCTGACCCATTTGTGCTACAACCATAATATAGCTGCAGCATGGCTCTACCACGTGTATCATAATTCAAACAAATAACTATTTCTTCATAATTGTTTCAGCGTGCTCCATAATATATTTTACATATATTTAGACCATCGACATAATTTATGGCTGTTGATAATTATTGTTAATTTGAATTTCGCTCACAGCTGTTTTCGCAAAACTGTAAGGAAATTGGAGCCAACATTTTTATGCCGCCCATATATTGAACATTTAATCATTTTTAGATATCAATTTGTTAAATTATATTATGATGAAAATAGCTCATTACTTACTCGCTTGATATCGCGCACGTCCCACACATAGAGGCTATGGTCGTTGTAAACGCAGGTGAGCTTGTGGTTGCGTTCGTCGTAAGTAAGCGCGATCGCGTCTGGGTAATGCGCATTCGTTGGCTGTGTAAACATATGACTGCAATAAACAAAACAATATTTGTTACTCGAGGCGACATCTCAAATTAACAACCCGAAAATATGCGCGATAAGAGAATGGAATGAAAGGAGAATTGGCAAACGCATCGTTGCCAAGATCGTCACTGAAAATATTATTTCAATTACTGTAGTCGGATTCTGTGTTTTACAATGTTGAACAGAATTATATTGTAACAAATTTGACATAAGCTGCCAATTTGTTACAAGGTGGTCTTTAAATTTATTTACCGTACTGTACCATATCGTAATGTTCACATAAAGCAAATAAAGAAATTAATACTACCTATTCTATCCAATGAAATATTTTAGTGATAATGAATTTGCTCACTTAATATTAACTCCTTGAGCAACGTCGACGCCGAGGTAATGTGTGCGCGGCAACGTGGTGATGTACCGCAGGGAGTCCGGCGCGAAGCACCGCACTATTCCCTCCGCACATCCCACGAATATGTAGTTAGCGCCGATTGCCATGCAGTTCGCCGACGTTGTCTATAAAAACCGAAAGAATAATTGAGATCAAAATGATAGTAGCAATAACCGTACATCTGTGGCGGCGCTGTCGTCGCGCCACAAGCGAAAACACATCGAAGCCTAAATCGCACTAACAAAGTTCCGAAGTTAAAGCAGCATATATAGGATAGCTCCGAAGTATCAATCGGAGCGTTGGCCACTCCCCGGGCAGTACACCTAGCCTGGTGGGAGATACCCCCTTTTCCTTCCACCCGCCACACATCTATTAAAAAAATTGTATGATCACGATTGAACACATTGATTTAGCTAACCAACACTATCTATTCCCTCACTATAGGACAACAATTCGACACGATCCGAGGGAGACCAGGAGCAGAAAGCGCAAGACAGACGGCTTTTTTTAGGGTGAAAAACGAGCACACAGTCCATGGCAGGTGGATGCTGTAGCTCATATACATATACATGCAGTATAACTCCTGAATACCAAGATGGAATGAACGTTAACGTACTGGAGGCACGGGGGTGAAACATCATCAACTTCCTGACTCCAAGCTGCTACAAAGAACTTCTCGACAGAGAAACCTAATAATTTACGAATAACAGTGGGTGGTAGCACTGGCTTTCTGGTTGCTTTTGATAGTTGCCACGCTTTTTAGGCCAGTTGACAACCGCAGTTTTCTTATTGTTTGAGGTGTTATCAGGAAGATGATGTTGCCCATTTCCTAATTCAGTTTCCCTGTGTCGCCTCTAATGACACCCACGGGATGGTTTTGTATTCACTACACGGCTACCGTGGACCTACCATGTAAAAACCGCGCTGGTGGATAAAGAGTGAGAACCGATAGTAATTCACGAGGCGGAACTCACTCGCAACTCGACCCACTTGTCGAGCAGGCGCCTGCTGTTGAACTCGCAGAGCAGACCTCCGCGAGTGATCGCGTACGTGCTGTCGGCCGCGTCGCCACGCCCGCACACCACGTCGCAGAACTCGTTGTCCTTCTGCTCGCCCAGTATCGCGGACCGGCCCATGAGGGGCACTGGCTCCTTGAACTGGAATGTAAGGAAACACATGTAATTTAGTAAGTACCTACAAAATTTCCCACTACAGTTAATGAGTATTGTAACCACCGAGACCACTCATTTTTGTAAGGAAATATTATTTATTAATATAATTGACGGCTCCGTGACGCAGTGGCTTAGCAATGAGTTGCGGCGCTGAGGGCCGCAGGTTCGAATCCCGCACGGAACAAATATTTTTATGGCCTAACAAATATTTGTAAAATTGTTCCGGGTCTGAATGTTTGTCCTTGTGAAAGAACAATGGCGAAATAATATGTCAAATATTTTGAAGCGTCTTGAGATATAATTTTTAAAAAACGTAATAAAAAAAATTATTGCATTTTATCAACTAAACATCAAAACTAGTAAAAGCCAGAATAAAAATCACTTCCTTTTTGGAAGTATAATTGATTGAAATCAAATGGATATCCTTTCCGTCACTTAGTGTGACCAGTTTATAATTACTTCAGTGTCTTAGTTAAAAATCATTTTCAATTCATCTTGTTGCATCTGGTTTAAGATAAAATAATATTATCATTATTGCGTTTTATATCATTGAAACAAAAGTTACATATGAATATTAAAAAAATATGTAGTATTTTATTATATACTTCTGGAATTCAGATTGTTTAGTAAGAAACAATATAAATGCTATAGCAACACAATATGACAATGTCGTAATGACATTTTCGTTACGTCTTACGTCACACACTGCTCTCGCGCCGTTTGTGCTGTCTGTGTTTTGTGTTTTTGGTTCTGCCTTTTGATTTCCTTATTTTTATTCGACCTGGACTGCCCCTGGACTTATCTGATATTGATTTTCTATTGTGTGAATACTATATTGCGTGCCCAAAGGACTCCGATTCCGCTACACCCGACGACATTGTGCTATTCTCATCTGGACTCCGATTTGTGCCCTAAGATTTTGGTCAACTTGTCACAGTAATACTTAAATCAGACACGATGAGCGATCGTGACAGAGTTACTCGCATTATGTGTATCAACTGCAACATATGCGTTAATACACTACGTCGATACCGTGCTTTGGAACTTAACATAAGAGTTACCACGTTACTCTGTAGCTGGGTGTATCCACAAATCGTAAGTGTTTATTTATTCTAAGTAACCATATCTATTCGTATTTATCAAAATAATAAATCTATTACAAGTATGTCCAACTGATTCTTTAATGATCACATTAATTAGTAATTAGTAGTTAATTGTTGTAGAAATAGTATTTGCACCCATTATACATAATTTTATTTGAATTGAATAACATCTTAACTCAACATTTAACCTCTCGTCTGTTGGCATTACCAAACACTATAGATTACAATTGATTTTTCACATAGATCTATGTATGGATGACACAATCCTAATAATAAGTACTTTTATTTTTCAGATTACCGAAGATGATTATGTCTGTGAAGCATGCAGAGATCTTGCTATGATAAGTGTAAATCATAGTTTACAAGAAATATCTGGCATTGATGACCAACAACCTGGACCAAGTCACCGAGGCCATGTTAGTGTATGCCTTTTATGTGGGTGCTCTATTCTGCAAAGGCAAAGTGACAGAATATTGAGAGATAACCCTACGGACTTGCATCAGTTGATGTATACCCTTATTGAGAACAGGGTTGCTCCAAGACAGGTGTGCTATGTATATTTTAATTTTTAGATGATTGCCTTAGTCAAGTGGTCTGCTCGGTCTACGAATGATCAGTTGCGGGTTCGAAACCCGCAAGTGGCAAATGTTTGTGTGATGAGCATGAGCATTTGTACTTCAGTCATGGATGTTTATAATTGTATATAATTATTATCCATTATCTTAGTTGCCATAGCATAAGCTCAAGCTTAGTTTTGAGCTTGGTAATTGTTGTGATTGTTGTTGTGGTTGAATAATTTATTTATTTTGGGCAGTCTCATATTGCGAAAAAGACACCTTTATCTTAGAGCTAGATATTTAAGCATTTGGTATTTTTGGTCCCTTAGTACACATATACTAACACATAATAATCATAACATTTGGAAATCAAATCAAGGATATATGTGCTTATATGCTAATCAAACCTATGAATGGAAGTAAAATATATTGAAAAGGGTTTTACTGATATGACGATTTTCCCACATATTTTATTTGAAAGAAATTGTTGATCTTTCTCATTAAAGCATTTTTTTTATTTCTAGGTTACAGAAACTGATAAGGTGTGTCACCCTTGTTGGTTGCGCACTCAAAGAGAGGCCCGTCGTACCAATGATGTCAACAGACCACAATCTGCAATTGAGGAGCCATCAACAGCAGATGAGCCTATATTAGCAGGGGTGCAGTCATGTATTTCAAATGAGGAAGTGAGGCATGCACCAAATGGACTAACTTTACCAGACTATAGAAGAGCAGCTAATAACAACAATCGTTGTGTTTTCAAGGATTGTAACAGTACCACATTGCATGGAATCAGTGACAAACTCCGTGCTGTAGTCCTGAGCAATCACAACTACTACATACCTAAACTAGCTCGTGTTTGCAGTGAACATTTAAGTAGCAATTTATGGGAGACACTATATTATTCTGCAAATAGTTTGGACACTTTCACTGCAGACCAAGTACAACATGTATTTTCTTTTATAAAGATTAATACAACATTGGACTTTGAAAATATTTTTGAAATGGATGACAGAGTATTCGAATACTGGATCGGACTTACTAAAGAAAAGTTCAACAGTATATTAGAAGAAGTTCCACGCATAAATGAAACACGAAAAGGATGCTTGGGCCTAGCAGCACTTTTAATGAAGATGAGGACAGGGGATTCAGATGAAAGAATTGCCACTTTAGTACAAGTGCCACGCAGAACATTAGAGAATGCAATAGACAAAATAAGAGAGATTTTGCTCCAAGATTTTGTGCCCCAAAACTTGGGAATTTACCAGTTATCACGAGAGCAACTGCTGGAGCACAAGTTAACAATACCACATGGCATTTTTGGAAATGAAAACAACACCAACGGTATTGTAATTTGTGATGGAACATATATATATATAAATAAAAGTTCAAACTACATGTTCCAAAAGCAGAGTTACTCCCTTCACAAATATAGAAACTTATTAAAACCATTCATGATTGTCGCATGTGATGGATATATTGTTGATTGTTTTGGCCCATACAAAGCAACTACATCAGATGCAGAAATAATGACCAATTTGTTCAGTGAGGGTTCCGCCTTAAGATCATATTTTAGAGAGAATGATATATTTATATTGGATAGGGGATTCAGAGACAGTATAAGTTTTTTAGAAGGATGTGGGTACAAACCATATATGCCAGAATCTTTAATAGAAGGTGAACACCAACTCACTACTGCTCAAGCCAATCGGAGTCGCTGTGTCACAATTTGCAGATGGGTCGTAGAGGCCGTGAATGGTCATTTTAAAAGAGATTTTAAATTATTTCGACAAGAATATTTCCATAGGTCTCTACCACACATGATGCAAAACTTCCAAATAGCAGCGGCTCTGTTAAACAGGTTTGGTGTTCGCTTTGTAGATAATATATATGCCACAGAAATATTAGAAATAATTAGGCAGCGAATGAATTTAGAAAATAATCTGGCTAATATGGTTGAAGCTCGAAATATGAACAGACGCACATCCTACTTTCAAAGTATTACTGCGGATAGGAATAATATTGTGTATTTTCCAATATTAGAAATGAGAGATCTGATTTTGTTCGCCCTGGGAACGTACCAAATTCGACAAGCTCGCTCATATTACGGCGAGCATGTGCGTTTCCATGGCGGATACAGAATAGAAGTCTGTAGTGAGCAATTTCATTCATCTGAATACGATCTTAGGGGTTCTGCAAATGGAACTACATTGATTAGAGGCAGAATTAAGTCAAGGCATGTAACCCGGAGACAATATTATGTATATATTTTATTAGAAAATAATATACCTGGCCGAACAGGAATCACAGAGTACTGCTGTAGTTGTTTAGTAGGTCGGCGCACAGTAGGCTGTTGCGCACATGTCATGACCTTAGTTTGGTATTTAGGATGGGCCAGACATCAGCAACATATCTCAGCACCGGCAGAGTTTTTAGATGGTGTAATTGTTAGGGAAGATGATGAAGAATAAATGTTGTATAATTAATTTCTTGTTTTATTTACCTTTGGTCGAATAATATTAATAAATATTTTATACGTGGTAGAGCCATGCTGCAGCTATATTAGATATTAATAGTATAGTAGTAGCATGAATGGGTCTCTCATAGAATACCAATGTGAAATAGTAGCTTGACGCTGCTGTGTTTCGTATGGTGAGTGTAGAGAACCGGAGACCCTTTTTACTGGAAAAGAGGCATTCCATCTTAGTCCTCACGGGTGACAATGCATCTGCATTTTGATTTGTAATAGAGGATAGATATAGATGTCCATGGGCCACAGTAACCACTTACCATCAGGTGAACTGTGTGCTCGTTTGTCACCCTTTCCTATAAAAAAAATAGTTTCATTCCAATTATCTAGCTCCAAAGTGTAACTTGTACTATGGCTTAACATATTATTTTGAATTCTCATTAGGCACTGATTCCTTAAAAAGTGAGTAAATTAATTACAGTTCCAACAGTTGATTACTCAAGAATAACCTTGAAACGGTAATATACCTTATTAGGTATATTACCGTTTCAAGTGTGAATAATTATTAATTGAACATTAATATAAAATTAAATGATTGAAATCCTTTACGTCAAAAACTCTTTAATTGATAATAAATCTTGAACAATTTCAGTGACATAACTTCACATAACCTACAAATCTTCAAAGCCTCGTAACAATTATTCCTGGCTTCGTCGATAAAAAAATCTTAGACAAACAATCTCAGGGAAGGATGGTAAATAGCTTTTGATATTTTTGATGTAAAGACGCTTCCAGATTACCTGACATAAAAATTTGTATGGGCGTTCGCCATTGTCCTTTATGTATGTAAACTGCCCACGATACAGAAAATCCTAGTGTGGAGGTAAAAGAGGTAAAAGAAAAAAAAAAGAAAAAAATTATAAATAGAGCAAGGTCCACTAAGCAAATCTTATTGAGGGAGTTTAGCAGAAATTATTTAATATGGTTTTCAATTCAATACTAAACAGTTTTAAATCTTCATGACAAGCAAACACCATGATATTATTATATTATAATATATTTTATTAAAATTTCATTTTACCAGATTAAAAATGTACTAGTGCTAGCAATAAAAGTATATCACTCACCTTAGCATTTCTAGAGTATTCCAAGTACCAGAATTTAACATGCCTGAAGCCCACTGTTACAAAGTAATTGCCACTTTCAGAGAAACTAACAGCCTTAACACGAGATGAAACCTGAAATAAAAGAAATATGGTTTTATTAATTTGATTGATATTACAAGAATAAAGCCTTCATGGCTTTATATACCTCAGCTATTAAATACTAACAACTAGATATTAATATTTAGGTTTCGCTGTGTGGCAACAGTACAGCGTAGGAGTATTATATCATATACTAACCCATATCATCCTGTAATCATCCTATTAAGCAATGTAGGTAAGGTGCTGAATGAAGAAGACCTATATTCAGCAGTGGCCTTTTAAAACACTGTAATTAATAATTAAATGCAATGTGTGGAGGCATCTGCATAAAAAAATCCATGATCCCATTTCGTCCCGTGAGTATCGCAAGAGACTGCACTGCAAGAGACTAGGGAAACGCCAGAAGGATGGCGATAATCATCCCGGTGACGCCAGACATAAAATCAATCAATCAATCCAGTTGCCATTCCATCCTCATCATCTTGATGATTGGCGTTCCACTTTTTTTTCGTTACTTTTTCGGAATTTTCTGACTCGTACGACCACACTGTGGAATTTAGTATCTATCGCCAGCGGTTTTTCCGGACCGATGAAACTTAGGGACCTTCAATAAAAGAGCCTTCTCCCTTCTGAAATGCTAGCAACGCACCTGCAATTCCCATAGTGTCACAGATATTCATGAGCGACAGTGATCACTTACCATCAAGTGAGCCGGTCTGCCTCCTCTTTCATAAAAAAAAACCACTTTCATAAATTAAAGATTATCGCACATGCTTAAATGATTCCAATGATACTACAAGAGAGGCCCATGTCCAGTAGAGGACTTTTATGGGCTGATAAGGAAGAAGCAAAAGAAGAAAAATATTTAAGTTAAATAACTTTAAAAATGCTATTTGTTACCTTATTGCTTGCAAGCTTGAGGTTGGCCCGCCAATCCCAAACATTAACAATCATGTCATGTTGAGAACCAACCGAGACTAGATATTTCGCTGATGTAGAAAAAGCCTGAAATAAAAATGATAAATTAATCAACTGTCATAATTAGCTAAACGTCTAGTAGTCTTTCATGATATTAAATAATAGTTTTGTGATTTGTTAGCTATTGTTCTTATATTTATTATGAATAAACACATATTATTTTATAACATACATTTTAAAATTCCTATTGCAAAAATAACCTCTAAAACAAGACAAAATAACGCACAAACTTCAAGGCAACAGTTTATATATTTGTATATGTAAAACTTCAAATTGTTTGGTAATATAATCTTAAAGAAAATTCATAACTAACATTTATGTCTATTTTAAAGACTTCTCGATATCAAAGATAATTTTACTACAAATGTCGTAAAATTATTTCCATTTCTACTTACAACGCAGTTGACTCCATGTGTATGCCCAGGGAACTCAGCTATCTGCACTGCTCCCGACGCTGTCGGATCCTGGAAATAACAACAGCATTACAGCATTAAAGTCAAAGGTTAAATATTTATTTTAATCTATCAGCCACAAGATGGCGCTGCTCGGTAAGTTAGAGTTAAATACTACGATTTTATTTCCTTAACTTAAATTATAGTAAGTACGAAACCAAGATTATAAACATATTATATTATTTTTAGAATAATGAAATGGTACGAGAATCTAGTAAGTAATAAGTAATTTAATAATAAATGTATATATTTTTAACTTCATATAAAAAGCTAGGGCCTAACTACAATCCAAACTGGTTATATGTAGTGATATACAACCAGTCGGATTCAAACTAGATAGTAAAATACATTGTCTCACCGCAAAAAAGGCTATTCACTCTAGCCTTGTAGACAAAACATGTAAAATGCTAATTCGAGTATTTTGTACGTTTTTCTAATCAATTTCCTCGCCTCAATTTTACGGGTTGATATTTTTGGTTTCAATATTTAGCACATTTATCACCAGTTTTACTTTTACATAAAAAGTTAACATATTTCACAGAACTTGTCATTTTCTTTCTTTTGTTTAATTTTGTGTCCCTACTTTGTTATACATATATCAACAGCCTACTTTTTGTTGACTTTATAGATAATAACCAGAACACTGGTGCTTCAAATTGGAATACTCAAGTTAGAAGTTTTCAGCTATCCGCTGCTAGATGCCGCTTGTAGGCGCAAGCTACGAGAATGTTTTTTTTTTCTTGATAAGTTGGTGCTATTTGTGTACAAACACATTCAAGAAGTGAATTTTTAATTTATTAATAATCGTAGCTATCTTGTTTCTGGAGACTCGAAACAAAGGAAGTTTGAAATACAAACCAAATCAAATTCGAAATCATTTTTTAACCCTGCTGTTCGAGGGTGTGGTACCGGTAGACGGACACAGTTTGGTTTAGAGTCGATCTCATCGTTACAGTAAAAAAGGGCCAAATATTGTAAGGGCCGATATTCAAAATCAAAATAAATTTTCCTTCCCAGAGGACTCACCTGCAGATCCCACACTCGCACTGCGGGCGCATGTCCGCACTCGCCGGTCGCTAGGTACCGTCCGTCCGGCGAAAATGCGACGCATGTGACGCTTTTGCGCGACGCGTTTAAAACGTGCGACTGCCGATTCTTTCGAACGTTGTACAACACCACCGTGCATCTAGAATGAAAAAATACAATAATAAATTTTAGGAAAAAACGCTTCATCAAAATCCACAATAGAACAACACTTTTTTTTTAGAATAAGGGTGACAAACGAGCTCACAGTCCACCTTATAGTAAGTGGATGCTGTAGCCCATAGACATCTACATTTATCTTCGATTACGAATCAAAATGAAGATGCGTTGTCACCCCTGAGGACTAAGATGGAGTGCCTTGTTTCCAGTAAAAAGGGTCTCCGGTTCTCCACACCCACCATACGAAATAAAGCAGCATTAAGCTGCCTTTAACGCTTGTATTCTGTGAGTCCACTTGGTCTCACCCCGGTCGAGCCGACCCATTCGTGCTACAACCATAATAAAGCTACACCATGGCTCTACCGTGTAAAAATATCCCCAATAGACTGCCACATACACTGCAGGTTGGCCATCATAAGCTTTTTATTATTATTATTGAGGAAAATGCTGCTGCTAATCTTTTATGAGGTGCCCTCTATCGCCTTGTACAAAACGCATAGGATAATATTATGGGCTAGTGAAATATATATATATATATATATTTCATGATAGTGTTGCAAAGGTAGTGTTGCAAAAAAAGCACTCAGACAACTGTATATATTATATACCAAACAGATTGCAGTCACCACAAATCTGAAATAGATTTTTAACAACGAAAGACATCGGGACAGTCTGTTAAATACCATTACAGCCTATCAAGTTCACTGGTGAACATAGGCCTCCCTGTGGTTTGCCTCAAAGATGGGATATTTACCATAGTTGAACACGCTTCGAAGGCGGCTTGGCATCCGCAGTTATGAGAAAAACGCTGCTGTCCACCACCTGTTCTGTTTCCTGTTGTTATGGGGTAATGGATATTCTTACACCACTACTACGCGGTTAAATTATAAACTACTGTTAAATTAGAAATTAATATTCTATTTTTATTATTATAACCCTGAAAAAAAAAACGAAATTGTTCGCGTAAAATGTTATTACATATTAAAGTAATTACTTAAAACCATGGAAAGGCCACCGTCTAGCCATAGAGCAATTTCAACAACAGAATACTAAACAAATCCTGATCGTGACCCATGCCCATAGACTATTGACAATGGGCTTTTAACATGGGATACTTACAGGCTTGGTAGGATGAGAATACAGTAAGCGAGCGTCACGTTTTTCATTTCGGTCAGTCAGGTATTATTTTATTCATTTATTAGAAAAATTAGGTGTTTATATTTTTAATCTGTCTGCTCGACCCCCCAATTAAAATAAATGATTAAAGATTTTTAAACATTACTCTAAGAAAAAGAACTAGAAAATAATCCCTCACTCGATAGGGTTACCAGATGAAAAAAATAAAAGTCCGGAGAAGAGGCCTGATTTCCATTTAAAAATCCTGACATTTTTTTAAAGTTTGAGAAGAAAACCTTACTTAAAAAGGTATCTACACATATTAAGTATGATAAAACTGTTTAAGTACCTACTTGGATAAATGTGTTTTGATTTTAATTGTGGAATTATTACCAAAGGAAAATTATTTTTAGTTTGTTTAACTTTTTATTAAAGAGATCTTTAAAATGTAAACTGTATTATATTGAAAGTTCTAAAAATCCTGAGATTTCATGAGATTTGCGAAATCCAGCCGTTATCCTGAGAAGAGTCTAAATATCCTGAAATCTCAGGACAAATCCTGAGATATGGTAACCCTAGTCACACATTAAAAAGTTATAAAACCTAATTATTATTATTATTATATTTAAATAATAATAATAATTAGGTTTTATAACTCTTTAATGAGTGAGATCACTCATTAAAGAGTTATAAAACCTAATTATAAACAATAAAATAACAAAAAATTGTTAGCGTTGCCAAATTCCTTCATTGTAAATAATTCGTTCATTATAACGGTATTTCAAATAGCACTTCATGAGTATTTTCATTAACTCAAAAAGATCCGTGTCTGAAAGTACACAAAGAGCAAAATATTACACGAGATTTTTTTTTTTCAACAAAATATTAGATTATTTAAAGAACAGTATGAAATATTATACAGTATATTTACTTCTTAAATTTAATAGTAATATGTAATTTAGTTTTTTTTTTAGTTAGAATGAGTAAAGCTTTATAATAAAAACGTAAGTTAATAAGTTAAAGTATATATACGTCTGTAGTTATATGCTGACGATGCTGCAGCGATATTATGATTGTATCACGAATGGGTCGACTCGACCGGGGTAGAACCGCGGTCCTCACAGAATGCCAGTGTAAAATAGCAACTTAACGCTACTGTGTTTCGTATGATAAATGTAGAAAACAGGAGACCCTTTTTTTACTGAAAACGAGGATAGATGTTAGATGTCTGGGGCTATACAACAAATTGTTAAATAACAATTTCACGATTGTCAAAACCAATGTGATATGGGTAACGAACTAACGAGCAACTGCATCAAGGTGCAAGGCATCAGATACTGTGATTGGCAAACCGCCTTCAAAGAAAGATGATTATGTTAAACCTTTCTAGGAGAGGTTCACGTTAACGTTTCGAAGTGTTGACTAACTAATTACAGCAGGAAGACGATAATCTCAGCATAGTATAAATCAAAGTCGCTTTCCGCTGTCAATACGCTTAGATCTTTTAAGCTACGCAACGGATTTTGATGCGAATTTCGTCAATAGACAGAATGATTCAAGAAGGAAGGTTTATATGTATAATACATGCATGTTTTTTTACGTGGTAGAGCTATACTGCAGCTATATTAATAGTACAGTTGTAGCACGAATGGGTCGGCTCGACCGGGGAAGGACCACGTTCTCACAGAATACCAGCATAAAATAGCAGCTTGATGCTGCTGTGTTTCATAGGGTGACTGTAGAGAACCGGGGACCCATTTTACTGAAAAAAAAGGCATTCTATATTAGTCCTCACGGCTGACAACGCATCTGCAACGCATTTTAATTCGCAAACGAAGATAGATGTAGATGTCTATGGGCCACAGCAACCACTTACCATCAGGTGGACTGTGTGCTCGTTTGTCACCCTTATTCTATAAAAAAAAAATATATATAATTCTTCTGTCCGTGTGTATGTGACTGAACTCCTCCTAAACGGCTGGACCGATTTTGATGAAATTTTGTGTGTGTGATTAAGTTGATTAGAGAAAGAATTAGATTCACATTGAACCCCGTTAGAAGCAATTGTTGTCAAAATCCAGAAAACAACCGTGCTAAGCCGAGGCGTGTCGTTAGTAAAATATATAAATGAAATTTAAAAGGCAATACACCACCGCATTGCAATTGTAAAAGGTCCGGACGACGTTTCTTCATTGCTTTTATTAGAGAATATAGCACATATTACTTCATGTACTAAAAAAAGGGCAGAAAAGCAACTATACAAGGTTAACGCTTATCGCTCCGCTCGACAATGTTACACCGTCAAATAGTAAAAATGCCTTATTCGTATGTATGACGAACGTTACCGTAGACGCGGCCTTTCTCACGGCCACACACGAGAAATACCTTCGTGTACCGCTGCCGCTATGTACACTGTTAATGTTCTTGCATACGAGGACACTTATTACAAGTTCATTATTGAGTAATATCTAAATATTAGCAAATATATTAGCTGGCTTGAATAAATGTTAGTGCTAATACCAGTGCATAGCCATTGATCAGTGATTACCGAAACATCTCCCAATATCAGTTATTGCCACATCGCATCGCTACGCCTGGCTAGCTATCAGTTTGTAATAAGATTATAAGACACCTTCGGGCCATGAATAAAGATACAAAAAATATTATTCCGCCAACTCTCTAGTAGTAAGACGCAACACGTATCTGCACTTTCCCTAAGTCGACTTTACGAAGCCCACGGGCTATAACGAGGAAAAAGTTTCTGTTCGCCACTGCACTTTAAAGGTTACAATATTAATAATCCTCACTTTTAAGACGTATATTAATGTAAATTTAATGTTGTAAGTGCAGTGAAATAGGTTGTTGAGGAGATATAGCCTTGTTTGCCAAATGCCAACGTTACCTACACACGGTGCACTCTGCTAATCCACGACAGAGGCTCTGGCGAACGACGAATTTAAAAGGTACCATAACACACAAACTTATTGCACGCATGATAACGCGAAGCGTTATTAAGTAGTGCAATATTATTATTACTTCCAGCAACCAAATTCCACTTTTGCACATCGCGATAAAACTCACAAGACCATCCAGGCTATCTGGATGCTTGGCGGTTCACCATTGTGCGGTTTACTAATTTTGTGAAATCGACTACCACCCGCCATTTTTCTCGACTGATATAACTTAGGTACCTTCAAGAAATGACCTTAAATTTGCAGCCTATTTACGTCTCACTACTAGGCACAGGCCTCCTCTCATTTCTAAGAAGGTTTTAGGGCAAGGAAATGTCCGCCGCGCTACCCTAATGCGTGTTGGCGAACTGCATATGTCTTCGAAATTTTTTTTCTTATTTCTCAGACATACAGGTTTCCTCACGATGTTTTCCTTCACCGCCGAGCACGTGGTAAATCAGCACTTAAAATTGCAATTAACAATTTCATTGGTGCCGGCGGGGATCGAACCCGGGTTGCTCGAGTACTGTGAAGCTTAGAGCGAGCGCTAACAATCTGAGCTATCACGGCTCCTTATTGAAATGACCTTACTCCTTTTTAATAGGCCGCGAACGGACCTGCAGTTCCCTCAGTGGTTAAGTTGCGGTTCAGGGAGCTGGTGGACATTTACCATCATGTGAGCCGCATACTCGTTTGTTTCTCCAATAAAAAGACGCATTAGCAGTGCAAGGCTAAACACTCACCAACCCGCCTCCACGGCAATGCGATTGAGCAACTCTTTTATGTTATGCATTTCAATTAGTATCTACTTAAAATGGTTAAAAAACAATTGGTGCAGTGAGGTGAATTAAAAAAAGGCTGAAATAAGGGTGACAAATAATTTTAGAACGGGCCAAAGTAACAATATCAATAAGAA